AGACTTTTGATGCTGTCTGATACCCGGACATGCTTTATAAATTTAAGTACTTACTACCTTATTACAATTAATTAAGGTTTTTAGTTTAGATAAAAAAGTCAATGGCACGAGCGGGATTCGAAACCACGATCTTCGGCTTGATACGCCGCTGCTCTACCACTTGAGCTATCATGACCTCGATCCTCTCGGACATCAACTTCCCATCGCAACCACACCTTTTGAATTTTCCCTCCTTTTTGCCATTTTTCAATGACTTTTTTATCTCAACTTAAAACCTTAATTAATTGAATGTTATTATAGAAAATCGTTGAAATCGTATCTAACCGACCGCTTCTTCAGAGTGAGGTGCGACGAGTTCTCGGAAGTCAAACAGATACAAGCCGGCGTCCCATAAGGGTGCATTCTTGGTCCCATTCTTTATGCCATTTACACTGCTGACCTACTTACAAACCCTAATACCATCATCACCGCGATGATACCGCAATTTTATCCTCTAACTCGAATCATAACCAAGCTATATCCAGCAATTGTACTAACTGCCAACATTAGGTTGTTAATTAATTAAGGTTTTTAGTTGAGATGAAAAAAGTTAATGGCACGAGACGGATTCGAACCCACGACCTTCGGCTAGATACGCCGCTGCTCTACCACCTGAGCTATCGTGACCTCGATCCACTCGGACACCAACTCCCCATCTCAACCCCACCCACCTTATGAGTTTTCCCTCCTTTTGCCATTTTTCCATCGAGGTCACGATAGCTCAGGTGGTAGAGCAGCGGCGTATCTAGCCGAAGGTCATGGGTTTGAATCCCTCTCGTGCCATTAACTTTTTTTCATCTCAACTAAAAACCTTAATTAATTGTCATGTATTAATTGGTCAAGCGGACCACGAAAGTAGTGAATTAGGTTGTTAATCAACCTTCACAGCCTTGCAAGCAGTTCCTTAGTGTAGGATCTTGTTTACGGTTTTTCCTCTCTCAGAATCTGCACCTAGACGTTCACAAAAACACCAAATATGTTCTGCGGTTTCCTCTTCTTCCTGGCGGCGCCCGCACATTGATTCTTCTGTCTGTACTCCTATCGGGTGCATGTGCAACCTAACCTTGTATAAGACTTTGCGCCCCCTTTGGAGATACGGAGCGTAACTGTGAAGTTCTGCCATCCAAAAGTCCTCAGACAAATCGTCAAAGCTCCTTAATACCTCACGAATCTCACTATCCACAACGACCTCAACGATCCTTTTCAAATTCCAAAAGTTTCACACCACCAACAGCCTAACCCTATTGCACGCGCACTCGCTACACATTCCAATATCCCGAGAACCCGCCATGTCTCCTTTAATCGACGATGACCTCGAGACCTCCTTGCTCCTTAATCCCCACACTGAGTGCCAGCAGTGGTCGGTTTCTCAATAAAATCTTTATTCCTGGTGCAGCGTTGGCATTAATGTTAGTGCTGTAACCGCGTGAAAAAAAGTTTTGTGATCACATTTGTAAAATGCACTAACGGTACAAATAAAATAATTTAAAATAAAACTTTCCAAAGATTCGAAGGTATGTGAATCAGACAAAGGTCATCATCATCAGGCCAATAATCTCGCTTTTTCATTGCACTCCAAAGACAGTTTTAATGATAGGATAAAGGCAAGCCGCTATAGGTCCTTGACATCTCCGAAAGTTGTAAAGCATGAAATCACAATCTGCAATAGAAGCGCAGGCCGACGAAACCGGATGTCAGCCTTAAGAGCCGGCTCGTCTTCAATAAATGGAGGCCTAAGATAGAAATAGATTTCCTGACTGGAATTGAAAACGCGACCCAACATCCACGGGATAATTATTTCCAGGACGGCACGTTTTCGTTACGCTCCTCGGACGGGAAACCATGTCTTTTAGAGGAAATATTAACAAGTTACAATCAGAAACAGTGTGTATTACGAAATGTATAAGGATAATTACCCGTCTATGTCTACTGACCCGGTTTTACCTCCCAGACGGAACGTAGTAAAAGTTAACTAAAAAAAATTAGAAAATATATTTGCATTTCCTTTTTGTATCAGAAATTTTAATAAATTGTATGAGGTTTTGTTGTCCAAGCCTGTCTCTGTTCATCTTTCGGCCATAATCGTCGTCCAGCCAAAAGAAATAAAAAAGTACAAACTGGCATATACTGTTTTATATATTGTTTATACTGTTATATATACTGCATATACTTTTTTTTGACTGGGGCTTCCGACATCTAGTCATTTCAGCCCCCCAACTAAGTCTATATTCTATTTACCCTTTCAAACACTACATTTACAAATAAATACATTCATACACATAAATACATACATACAGTACACTCATTCCATTTGGTCGGTGGAGTACTTGATATTCCTCCACTGAACTATACTCAAACTAATCTAGATTGGGGTCGATGGAGTACTTTCATAAATATTCCGCCATCAACCCCGAACACACACTCTTACGCTCTCAACCTTCGAGGGGCGATGATGACGTTATATTTCACCCTCACCCCTCGCCATTCACGCTAATAAATACATGCACTCAGACAAAACATTTAGACACAACACATAAGACATATTTTATACAATAAAAAACCCCAATTTCCCCTAAAAAGCAGAAAAAGGGACTCAGAATCACGCTGCAGTGCTCGAGTACCATTTTCAGATTGGATGGCATGCCTACACGCTCCGTGTAGGGAGCCAAGGTATGACATATTTCCAGTATGTGGGAAACATCGAGCAACCTTTCTCTGCTTAAGGGGCACCTGCGCGGGCTTTGGCCCAAGGTCCCCCCCTCACCCTTCGCCATTCACGCTAATAAATACATGCACTCAGACAAGGCATATACTGTTGTCGGATGTACGTTTTGACATTAATATACATCCAGAACCGAATACAATTAATAATTTTAATTTTATTTGCGATTGCTTCTATTTGTTTTGGATAAATTCAGAAATGTATACAAATTATTAGAAAAATGTGCGGTGGCCTATAATTTTGTCGGGGAGTTAAGATTGATTAAACTGATGAAAATACAAATTTATAATCATACAGGTACGTAAATATATAAATATAGGCATATGTATATATGAGAGGAGAGCGAAAGTGAGAGAGGAGAGAGAGAGAGAGAGAGAGAGAGAGAGAGAGAGAGAGAGAGAGAGGAGAGAGTTTGTATATATCAGTGAGAGGTAGATTGAGATGAATAAATATATATGATTGATAAATAGATATACAGACATATTGACAGTTAAACAAATGGATACCTTGATATAAACATAACTCACTATGGGTCTGGCTGTGGCTGATAGGCTGATGCCAAAAAAAAACCCTCATTATGGATAAATATATACACAGAGAAAAAAAAAAAAGAACGAGAATGAGATAGAGAGAACAGGAAGGATAAATCCAACTTGAGAGAGAAAGAGAAGTTATATTTACAGGTTGGCAAATAATTAGGAGAATTCCTCAATAAATAGACTCGAGAAAGAGAGATACAGAGGAATCGATTGCTACAAAAATATATAAACATAGACAGATTGACATTTAAATATAACGTAGGCAGATGGATGGAATGATAGATAACTTTGCAAGAAAATGAATAGAAAGTTAGTATGAGAAAGAATTAGGAAAATAATAGAATGTATGCAAGTTCATGGCTATTTTAATTACTTTAATGACAAAATATTTAATTGTGTTGTTAATAAACAGTAGCTGGTTAGGGATGAATGGGGCGGACATGGCACCCATCACTGTAAGGTAAAGGTCCCGGGTTCGAATTCAGCGGCTCTGCATTAAATGGGCTTTTTTTACCCTGAAGGGTTTAAAAAAAATTGTTTTAGTTGTTTTGAGTTAAAAATTGTTTTTTTCTTCTGCCAGATAAATGATACAAATTCTCAAGGTATTTTAACTAACTGAAGTTTTAAACAAACAAGATATAATAGCTTTGCAGGGGGCATCGGTGGCCGCAATGGTTTAGACATTGCCACGGCGCTCTCCACTGTAAGGTGAAGATCCCGGGTTCAAATCCAGCGGCCCTGCATTCAAACCCGACATGCTTACAAATGTTGTTTGTTTTGTTTTTTTTCAAAAACACCGGCACCCTGGGGGTTTATATGACCTCTGCTGATGCGAAGTGCGAACCCTCGTAAAAAATAAATAAATAAAAATAGTTTTGTTCAGGAAAAAAATTAATCAAAAGTAATTTTGTTTATCGCCATTATAATCAAATTGCATCATATAAAATTTCGACTTGATAATATCAGGGTTTTTTATCTAAATTTAAAACATAAAACAGGTTTCTGTAGGGTATAAAGTGTATCATTTATATTCTTAATTAATTTGCATTCTTTTTCTTTTCTGAATGTCTTCCTTTTTGGTTGGGCTGATTTGTATCTGCCTCATATTTTGGGTTTTAGATGTAGATGTAGATGTAATTTCAGGGTATAGTATATTATGCCCTTTAAGAACTATTGTATTCCCCATGCTCTGCCTAAAGCACATCGGTGAGTCCTATTTCATCAAGAAACTTGATTAACAGGCCCAGTTTCAGGGGTTGAAGCTCTTCTACGGTCACATTATACATCTCAAAACATTTCCTCCTGTGGGCTAGTGTAGCTCCGCAGTTTGTTAGTAGGTGTTAGTGTGTTGGTGTCTCTTCTGCCTCTTTGCAGAATCTGCATGTGCCATTTTGGATTATTCCAGTCTTCTTTAAGTGTCCATTTAACTTGCAGTGTCCTGTTAGGAATCCTGTTACGATTCGCAGTTTATTCCTGCTTCCCTTGACACATTCTGAAATTTCTTTCCTTCCAAAATTGGTTAGAAGATTCTTGGATTGCGTCCAATGAGTGAATTTCATAGTTCCCTCATTTTCGTTTTGGGATTTAAGTAGAATGTTTATTCAGCATCAAAGCAGTGTAAAAAGGCCATAAAATTTATAATTTTTTCCCATGAAGATCAAACTGCAGATAACTAATGATAGTGTAGGTAGATAGATGGATACTTTTTTTAATGTATTTTAAAAAATTATTTACATATTAATTCATTCTTTTTACTACAATTTTTGTACATTTGATACAAATTTATACACAATCATGTACTTCTAAAATTCCACATCTCTTTGGATTTCTTAGACATGAAACCATTGAAAAAATCAACAGCAGAAATAGTTTTCTTTCCAACCCTGATAGTTCTAACAATGACATTGTTCCCATCACAACACTTTACTTTAATTATCTTCGTTATTTTGCAAAATTCCAAATTACCAGCATTTGTATCACTTTTCTTTATTTTTGTTGTTTTAGGAACTCCTTCGAATCCATCATTGAGAAACGAAAGAGCACTTTGACTTGAAGATCTCATTTCGTTGTCAATTTTCTTCAACTCCTTGTCAAGTTCGAGGCTTATTAGTTTTACACTCTGACCATGCCAATGAGTTTTCAAAGGGAAGATTGAACTCAAAGCCCTGTGAAGATTGTATACTTCCAGTGCCGATAATTTTGACCAATCTACCTCAGACATAGAAGCATTGATTTTTGGAGCTGAAAATATTTTAATTTATTAATTTTCTTTGGGTTTATAATTCAGAAACATGCCAACCGTAAGTAACTCCTTCTTGAGGCTGAGGGATGGCCATTTCGACACATCTGGGCATGTCTCTGATGCACTCCATTAAAAGCTGAGCACCGTGAAATGCAAGACGATTTTGCAAGTCCTCCGAAGTTTCATTTGGGCCTATAGGTATCCTATACTGCCTTACGATTTCTCCAACATCAAACCTAGAATATTCTTTATAAACGAAAATATAAAAGGATTATTATTAGACCAAGTAGTCTACTTATGAGGATGAATTCTCATGACTGTCACCCCAGTCTCAAAGTCTCCATTCATTATTGCGTGGATTATCGGCGAAGCCCCTCGCCACCTTGGCAGTATACTCGCATGAACATTAAGACAACCTCTGTAAAATAAAACAAAGTCAACTTACATTGTGCTAAATCAGTCAGACTGGACGTACAGAGGAAAAGATTCTATTATGTCTTTTGGGATGAGTTTACCAAAAGAGACAACCATCCCTATGTCATACTTAGACGCGATTTCTTTCGGCTGCAGTGGCCAGTCATGACAAATCAGATTCTCTTCTTCTCCGAATTTTTTTACAGCTGTTCCAGCTTTGCTCACAATCGCCAGATCGCTTATGAGCGTCCCTGTGTGTCTGGAATTATAATTTCAAAATATATTTCAACATTTTAACAAGAATTATAAAAAATATAAATTTTAAATTAAACAAGCACAACTTGTCAACTTGGTCTTTAATCTACGTAGTCAGCCAATTCTCGCTTTTGCCATTTTTCATTTAGTGGGATGCCTGATGATGTCTGACAGTGAAAATAGGCTGACATGGGATCAGGGGCGACCAAGCAACAGGTTCATCTTGCATGCATCATAATAAATATATTTTACACAACTTTAATCATCAGGATACATATCATATCAACACATTAATAATTTACTACATAATAAAGGCTCAATAATGACTTTTAGGCAAGCCGTAAAAGCAAAATCACGCTATATTTTTAGTACATCCCATATCCATGTTATATTAATCTGTTGTGATCATGACAATTAAAAATTTAAGTATTTAGTGAATAATTTCCTAAATAGTGTATAGATTGTAGGTTTATTTCAGCATATAATTTTTTTTTCATATGAGTGAGCAGGTAGAATAGTAACATGTTTTATATTTGAGTTATTAGAGCGATTTTGTAATTGTTTCACAGAGAAACTGACAATTTCTAGTTTAAAAACCAATGGAACTTCCTCAATTTAGGAGAAAAGGTTTGATCCAACCAGGATCAAACCCATCAAGCCTTGAGTTTTACTCATTAAAACAAACCAGACCTAATGCTACTTACAGTTTAGCACATAGTGACTTAAGGCTCGCAAGGGAGAAGCTGTCAGTTCCAAAAAATAATATTCTCCAGGGTGGTCCTGTCAGCTTCCTAGTTTTCGAGCATTTTTGCAAATTTGAAACAGAATTTGCAAGGCTACTCACACTTTCAAAACCAAATTTGACAATTGTGAGCAACATGGCATTATATGTGTGGGTAAGGTTTGATCAAATTCATGGCTTGATTTTTGTAAAATATGTACGTCAAAGTGTACAAACTTAATTAAATTTGGTGTTTACTTAGTTTTACTTTTACTCCATGCCCGGTTTGTTTATCAGTAACAGTGAAAACCGTTATCAGTTAGGTTTAGATTCAGGAGGACCTTGACTGCAGACCTTAAGCAAACTAAGGTTCAAACCTTAGTGACGTCATTATACATTCTTATAACAACTGAAAAAGAAACTGAAAACTGAACTATGTAGTTCAATGCAAATCACGACTACTTGGCAAAATGTATCATTTTTCCAGGATACTTTAACCAGAAAAGGAATAGAAAAGAATACTTTCAAATTTAAAAAAACTCGATCGTTAAAACTAAAATCCTACAACGTTCATACAGTCTGGAAACATGAACATTTACTGTAGAAAGAACCTGCAGCAAAAAGTCATTGTTTTTTTGACACAGTTCCAGTGAGTAAGATATTCGAGTTCAAATAAAACTTTTGAACCTAACCTAAGCAGGAAATTTTATTGGGATTGGAAATCTTCCTCAATCAAAGAAAGTAATATGTAACCGACTGATCTTGACCTCAACAAGGTTCGAAAATGAAGATATTTTTAAAAAAAGTTACTGCTTAGAAGAGATACAAAAATAAAGTTAATAATAAACGAGATAATAAAATAAGCTAAGACTGCATGACAAGAGTCAAAACAAGGAAATGAGACTATCAGAGACATTTTTAGTCTAGCAGACATGGTTTAAAGTAATAAACAATGCCAATATTTGAATAGGTATAGGCAATCTAAGATTGTATGGTGTAGGCAGTATGAAATTTCAACAATGTTGTAATACTGCAGAATCAATGTACATTTTAGATGTAGAATTTTTTCTGGTAGGTGCTGTAAGAAGAAAGCTCTATAGATTTACTTAGAAACTGCGGATGTAAAATTTTATTTCCATCTAAAAATGTCGTGATCTTTTACGTACTGAAATATTCAGTATGGCATAATGTCTTTATGTTTTCTGTCCGTCTCAAGAATAAACTGGAACACTGTTCGATGTACGTTCTTTTGAATTTATAACTAAAGTTGAAACTAGGAAAAAACGTCGTTGGCTCGCGAAGTCCATAGCTCTACAACCACAACAGGCCACTTTTGGCAGGGTTCACAGCAAAGAAACTGGTTTCATGGATCTTGTTTATGAAACCTGAAACTAAAGTTTCATGAAGCCGGTTGATTGAAATTTATATGGACTACGCGTTTCATGAAACTCGAGTTTTATGATTTGAAAAGCCTTTGGAACTTTTCTTCATCCGCCCTCGGTTTTTAAGCCACTTGTGTTCCCGATTTTGTATAAGAATGAAACCAGTGCTTCCACTTTTTTCCCCAACCACCACCAAAGACTTCTTCATCCGAAGACATCGTGAAATTGATTTTTTAATTCGGTGTGCATGATCTCTTGAATTTCTTTAGTGTGCACCCTGCTTTACTCTTGTCTTTCAGCTAATTTTTAGTTCAACACTACTTAATCTTGCGTACGCCAAAACAATATATAAATAATTGGTCAGAAAGTGGTATAAGCGGGGTGAGGCATGGACACGAAACCCCCGCAGATCTCGAGAAAGAGAATATACCTCAAAAAATGTTGAATTGTCATCTCTCCTTTTTTGTCCAATCAGAGAAGATTGTCGACTTAGTGCGCCTCCTTTTTTATTTGAATTCTGGTTTGGATATGAGAGGACAACAGAAAGCATTTGAGTGTTAAATGCTAGTACTTGGAATTTCTGACATTAGTTTATTTCAATTTGTGAGCTCTTTTCTTTTTCTTGTTTGTTGTTGATTCATGCATTCATCAGTCCGGTTTATCTCAGTTTTGGTGGTCTTTATTGCTTTGATCCTTAACATCGTCCTTTACAGTGGAAGCATTAGGGTCTTAGTATGAGTTTCAATTCATCAGTTTAATCGAAAAAACGTTACCTTTTGAACCTTTTTCTTCTTTGGTCCTTAACATTGGACAGTTAAAAAAGTGTCGGTCTCTTGATTACCTTGTGCACCGCGACCAGTATTGGTCTATTGTGTAATCTCCATCGTTGACTAGAGCTCCTCATTAAGGACTTTTTACCAGACGACAAACTTTTTTAAGACCTCCCGTGGGTAGGCTTTGGCTTTTTCTCACCTAAGAGTAGGAATATCAGCACACATAGGCCTTCGCACCAGCAGAAGGTATGTTCCACCGTCTTCTTTTTGGCAGTATATATACAGGCTTGTTTCTACTTTTCCTAAGTCATAAGTTTATGAAGTCTGCAGTGCCTGGTCAATAGTACTACTATCATTCTAGTCCTAACACGACCTAGGCTTAGTTGTTCTGCTGTTAGTTTTATGTGATGGTCTATTAATTTTCTCGTGCCTCTTTTCTGAAATATATTCTCATTGAACCGAAGAGTTATTCTTTACCCATCAAGGGATCGACGTTTTTGGCAATTAGGTATACCGCAAGTGTTCAGAGCCGATAGGTGTCCTGAATGAATTTTCCTTGGCCAATTTATCATTGGCATCGTTGCCCCTCTGCCCTTGTTTCTCCTGCTCTATACATATCTCCAGAATCTACAGTTTCCGATCAACAGTCCTACTATTATTCTAGCTCTAACACGTAGTAGGATTCATAGTCCTGCTGATAGTTTCTGCGATCTTTAATGAATTTTTTTCATGTCTCTTTTCTGGAATAAACTTTCATTGAATCGAGGGCTTATTTTTAATTCTTAATCTCACTTGCCTGATTGATCTACGTTTCTGGCAATTTGGTATGGTGCAAAAGTGTTCAGGGCCGATAGCTGTCCTGATGGAATTTTCCTTGGTCAATTTATCGGGGGCCTCGTTGCTCTGTATGCCCCAAACAAGAGTAATTTTGTTTTTCCTCAATGTCTGACTGGGGCTTGATGCAGTACCAAACGGCTTTGGGCTTTACTACCGGTGAGGTAAGTTAGAGCCGCCTTGCTATCCGAGTTGGATGGTAATGAACAGTGTATGAAGTTAAATGTTTAGCAAACGTGCTTGGAGTTGTAAATCATCACTTGAAACTGTGCATGAAGATTATGGTTAAAAAAAAAATCGCAACTTGTAAAGAAGTTAGATCTTGATCTAGGGAATATGTACCACCTAACTTTGGATTATTATCGGTTTGAAGGTGTATGTACACCAAAAGACCAACCCAAGCACATAAAAGAAAAATTTTTAAAAAAAATTGTGGGGTGTCATTCATGGTTTATTGTTTAACCAATGAATTCTGCAGCTTTGATCGGTTTCAACTTGAATAGATCTGCAATCGTCTCAGTAAAAAGATAATTTTTGTAAATAAATATTTTGCAAGTTGTGGCGTTAATAGATGGCCCGTATAGCTATCATTGAAGAAAGATCCGGGCCAAATTCATCCGACCAATAATAACAGATCCCAGCCGAGGGAATGTTTATAAACAAGGATATCGTCCAGTGGCCACTGGCAGATCCAGTCCAGAAGCAGTCGCATGCCCGGAACCAGTGGCCGGTGAGCCTTCGTGGGAAACGTCCAACACGCAGACCCGTATCGATCCATCTCGGTGTAAAATGGCACTCGACTGTCAGGCCACGTACAAAGTTCTGGTTTTGGGCGATTCGAACGTCGGGAAAACGTGCATCGTACACAGGTACTGCGACGAGACATACTACGACACGTACACCTCGACAATAGGTGAGCACCCTTTCAACTGGTAAATCCATTTTAAAAAATAATTCTAAAAGAGAACAATCTATTTAAACATAAAAGCCATTTTAACTGAACTCAACGAGAAATTTTGAAACACTATCTATGCTTATAAGCAATTAGCTATAACTCAAAACTGGTTCATATTTTTTTGGTTTATTGTACAATTAAGACAACACAATTTATTATGTAATAAAAACAATAATTAAAATAACATTTATTTTATTACGATGTAATAAACATAAAAAAAATACTTTAACTTTACAGCCTAAAGTTTGTCCTGAAATTTCACGTTTAATTTTAACATACTTGTGTAATATTTTTTAAAATATTAATTTATAAATTAGTACAATAATTTACTTAGTTATAATACAACGCCCAAGTGTAATAATTATTAAAGTAACCAAACTTTAAAAAGTTCAAAGTTTAAAAAAGAAACTTCGTTCCTAGAAGAAAGTGGCGTTTTCCAGCCAAAATTTCAATTTCCCAAAGGGAAATTTTACAAAATTTGAAATCTACTATATCAAAAGAGAAGTTTTGTAAATGTTTCTTTAAACATTCGTTGTAAAATTAAAATCGGCAGCTTTTAAAAAAATTGCTGGGGAGGGTGGATGAGTCATCCTCACTCCCCAGCAACTGCGGTACTAAACGAAAATTCAATACTAGTGTGCCTTATCCTACTTCTACGAAGAACCGAAAATAAAATAATATAATATACATATAATAAGCATTCGGAAATTGTTTTGTCGTAGTTTCTAATGAAAACCTATTCAAAAATCCCTTCTTTTACCTAAGGATTGTTAGTGCCTATATTAAGTTTTTCAAGTATTCACAATTAAATTTATAAAATTTTTGATTAACGAAATAAAGTGTGAATTTTATAAATTATGAGGCAAATAGGTAAATATCCCGACCTACAAATTTTTGACTTAGAAACATCAAAACACTTGACATTGTCATGTATAGTTACGTTTTTTGAAGTGTTAAACTTTAATTTAACGCTGAAATGAATAGTTTAACCAATTTAATTTTTAACCAACGAAATAAAGGTTTTTTACAATATAATAAAACAAGTTTTTTAGAGAAAAAAATTTGCGTGTTAAGGTTATTTTTCATCTCTAAGTCGAAAATTTGATAGCATCTTTAAAACAGAAAACCCATCGATTATAAAAAGATATTCTGATCGAAATTATAATTAAAATACGGGGGAAAATATGTAATTTGGCTTTTGTTAAAAGAAAAATTATCAGAAGGAATTTAAACAACTAAAATTTTATGTATTTTCCAAAATTTAACGAGCCAACAGTAGATTTTTCACCTCTACAAAAATAAAAAGTCGCGTGTTGCTCGTGTGGAATTCTCAATTATTTTATTTTTCAACTCATCACTATTTAGTCATAGTTGAAGTTGGCAATGATCGCAAATTGGCCCTAAATTCTAAAGTAGAAATCTTCTAATGGAGATGGCCCATATTTCTGCTTGCAAGCCTGTAAACGATCTGCAAAGTCGGAGTCATTAAAATTTCATTCAAGTCAAAAAAGGGCATTCTTCTTGATTTTGCTAAAGAATCTTGAGGCCAAAATAAAAGACATTTCAAACAGATTCTTTAGAATTGATCTGTGAAAATATCACACTAAAAGAACAATTCATATTTTCTTTACATCAAGAATATTATTAATATGTAAGCTACAGCTTGTTGATAGGATTAGGTTCACAATACATTAAACAATGGCCGTATTTTCTCAGAGATATTTGGGGAAATAAAAATTTTTTTAAAAAAACACGTCAATTCTGCTTGGTTTGCATTCATAAAGTCTTACAAATGTTTTTATTTAGGGGTCTGAAAATTTTTCAAAATTTTGCAAGAAGTTTGAACTTCCTTAGTCCAACAGTAGTAAGTTTGCTATTTCAATTACATGTTGAATTTTTTCATCATCTTCAGCAGAATTTCTAATCAATCAAAAGATTCAATCAATCAATTAGAACAAAATCCGGTTTCCATTTGGCATTTAGAAGAACACAAAAAAGGACAAGTGAAGTGCTAGGAAATTAGGCAGACCAGGAAATTAAATGAATTGAAATCTCTTTTTTTAATATTATTTTAAATTTTTTTTTTGACTTAATGACACTGTAATTATGGAAATTACTATGTTATCGAGCGAAGGACTGCTAATTATTTATACAAAAAGACTGACAATTAACCAAGAAACAATATGCAGGCGAGTAAATAGCAAAAGTTAATGCATTGAATAGTATCATCAAAATCTTTCTGATGCGGTATGAAACACTATACAGACCACGGGATACAATTCTCACTAAATAAATTATTTTATATAATTATATTTTTAAACAAAAACACTATATTTGAAGCTCTTAGCTCTTAAGTTTACATTATTTAAACCAAATGAATTGTTTTTTGATAGAGAAATGAATTTTTTTTTTGTTTTAGGTATTGACTTCAAGCAGAAAATAATCAGCGTCGATGGAATCCCAATCAAAATGCAAATCTGGTTGATAGATTATCAGCTATTTAAATTGCGGAATTAGAGCATGTCAATTTAAAAATGTCAATAATTTCAGGGACACTGCGGGCCAAGAAAGATTTCGAACATTGACGACCGCTTACTACAGAGGAGCAATGGGTATTCTTCTGATGTATGATGTCACAAGCCTCGAGTCTTTCAACAACTTGACCTACTGGCTTAAAAATATAGAAGAGGTGAGTTTTAAGAGATGGTTCCTTTGAGTGGAAAAGATTTTTTTTTTTAATTTTTTCAGAATGCATCACCAGATGTTGTCAAGGTACTTGCTGGAAACAAATGCGATGTTGCAAAGCGAGTAGTCGACACTGAAATGGGTCAAAAGGTGTTACAAATACTCTTAATGTTACAGTTCATTTTTAAACATAAAACTGATTTCAGATCGCTGAAAATTATGATATACCTTTTTATGAAGTCTCATGCAAACAGAACATAAACATCGAAACAATTTTCTTAAAATTGGCAAGGTTAATCAGGGATCAAAGGTCCACACAGGTATGTTTATGATTTCTCTTTTATTTGAAAATGTGATCATATGAATAAAAATTTGTTTTACAGACTGAACACTTAGACAGTGGACAGAATGAGAATATACATTTAGATTTGAAGTCTCGTCTATTCGAGAGCAGCATAAAGAACCAGTGGAAGTGCGCATGCTAGCTCAAATGCATACCAACATGAACACACAAGTCTCATAAGTGTAATTGCTTTTGAGCCACTCGAAATATTTCACAAATGCTATTTGTTTAAATTGATTTTATGCAGATATATACCGACAGTAATTTTTATTGAAGAAAGCCTAGGGGAAATTTTTTAAATGGATCTGTATGTATTTTAGATGTTCTTTATATAGAGAGCAAAAAGACTTGAATATAGACATGTACATGAGGGATAACTGCAGATGAAAACGTTTCAATGAAAATAGCTTTAATTAGCTCAAATTTATTTCATTCTATCTTAGATGTCTTTTGTGTAAATAATATATTTATAAAGCAGCAAGTTGTAATTAGATTTTAATTTATTTTTTGTTGTCAGAAGTGTTAGAAAACTGTTGTTATGCTTCTTGTTAAATCAATATCAATTTTTCACCGTGGTTTTAAAGATTTCTATTGCAGAGCGTATTATTCGAGAAATGTACTTATAAAATTGTACATAGTTAAATTATTATGTTTATACTGTACATATATATTCTATTAAACTCAAGGTCATATTTTAAAAAAAAGGTGATTAATATTTTCTAATGTCGCAACGGGTGATAAAATTGGATATCAAATTTATACCGAATAGGAATTAAATCCTAAATTGTTATTTGTTCATAGCAGATATTATTTTACAGACATCAAATGTATGCATTGGGACCATCAGCAGCTTGTCGGTGCTAATTTCCTCACAGTTGTAAATTATATGGTTATACCAAATATACTTTGTTACAACACCTGCGAAGCTTGGAAAAAAACAAACTTATGTAGAATATTTAAATAAATGTTTCTTGTACATAGAGCCTTTTTCCTTTGTTTGCCTTATTTGTTACCATGTCTGCAATATTGATTATCGAACTCTATGCCAGGGCAATGTGTATAGTATGCCAGCAGCAGCTCATGCACTCAGCAGTTAAACATTTCAGTATCAATGAATGGCTAAAAATGTATGACTCAAACAGCCAGACTCAAGAAAGCTTAAACACTTCTAAGTCTTCAAACTCCTCCTCGTCCAAGATCATAAGCCTTGAAAACAGTTATGAAAAAATTAGAACTGTCGGGAAAGGTAAATTGAATTCTAATAAAGGTTGTTCATATACAAATATTATTCTCATTTAAAAGGATATTATGTTAATTTTAATTAATAGGTAATCATAATAAGTAATGTGGAATTTATTTTTATGAATATGCAAACTAAAATCTTCCATTTTTAGATTCACACTTTAAATTTTTTTTCTAACTGGTAATATATTCTTCCGGTGTTATTGGGGTGTACAGGTCAGGGCTGTTTAGGAAAAATGCAAAAAATATGTTTTTTAACATTGGCAATGTTTTAGCCCTATTTTCCTTCCTAGGCTGTCGCCAAAGTGTTTTACTAAACACCCCTGGCCTCTACAGACAAAAAAATAATTCCAGACTGTACAACTAAGGCCAAAAGAAAACTACTTAAATATATTCTTATTAATTCTTTTGTATGCAACAAAATATATATTTCTTGAAAATAAAAAGAGTGTTTTGTATGAAGCACATATTTTAAAATTACAGGCGCATTCGGTACTGCTATTCTATATCGTAGAATTTCTGATTCAAAACTGGTGATACTGAAAGAGATAGACATGACAGAACTGAATGCTGCCGAGAGACAAATGGCACTGAATGAGGTTGAGGTTTTGTCAGTTTTACACCATCCAAATATTATTAGGTAATCGTTTAATCAATCTTTATTCAAGACCGATCAGCGTTTCAAACATTTATTTTTCAGTTACCTCGGTAGCTTTGAGATAAATGGTATGCTCATTATCGAAATGGAATACGCAGATGGTGGTACACTATCGCAGTTCATAATCAAATCGAAGAATCCAATCAACGAGTTGGAAATCTGGAACTTATACAAGCAAATAGTCGCAGCTATACAGTACATGCACGAACACAATATTCTTCACAGGTGACAGAAAACTATTCAAATAAATTTAAAATTCAAATATACGATTGATTGAAGAATATTACATTTTTTTTTTTTTAAATTATGCTAACATTATTTTTAGAGATTTAAAAACTGCCAATGTCTTCCTGACAAAGGAATTGGATATTAAAGTTGGGGATTTTGGAATTTCAAAAGTTATGAATACTAAATCTCAGGCACAAACTGTTTTGGGCACTCCGTATTATATCAGCCCTGAAATGGTATGATTAGTTATTTGGAAAAAAAAAAAAAAAGTTAAAATTAAGTAAAGAAAAAATATATTTGTGTACAGTGTGAGGGTAAACAGTATGATGAAAAGTCAGATATGTGGGCCCTTGGATGCATTCTCTACGAGCTGGCATGCAGGGAAAAAACTTTTCAAGGTTCAAATCTTCCCGCCCTTGTGAATAAAATTATGAAGGTCAGTAAAATAAATTTTTAATTATTCAGAAATCGTGAAATTCTTGCACAATTACACAGTAGACAAACTCTTTGAGCCCTTATTAGCTTTATTATGATCTCAATAAATATCAAAACATTGGCACTATAAAGAAAATGTTTTTCTGAAACCTACATCACACCAGACCACAACTCACGATTTCTGAATAATTATCGATTAACGGTCACTAATCACCACACATAAATTTTTAATTTTCAAAACTAAATTTACTTTTGTACAATTGTTAGGGTAGCTATGAACCGTTACCGACTGTTTATTCTTCTGGCATGAAACTTCTTGTTAGTGACTTATTGCAAAAAGATCCGGCTCTTCGGCCACCTGCTTCTGTTGTTCTGGCTCGAGTCAATCTCCTTTATGAAAAGATGAAAAAGAAATTTGCTAATTCCAATCATTTCAACAACTACAAGTAAGTACCTTACAAAAAAAAAAAACAAAAAAAAAATGCGATTATGATTAAAATAATCTTTTTAATTTTATTGTAGAAATTCGCAAAATGTTAGGTAAGTACATTTGATCCTAAAATATTTTAAATATGTTAAATTCATAATTACATGCTAAATTTGGCACATTGAATTGTTTAAATTTGTTTATTTTTCTTAATTAATATTATTATAAATATTAATATGCATTTTTTTAAATATTCAGGTCTGTTTTGTATAATATCAGTGGTCATCAACACTCTTTTTCCATGAAGCCAATTGATTTACCTCCAAAAGCACAAATACTTAGTGTCGCAATTGGTGCCACACACTATGTAGCACTAACTTCTGGTAAGATGTAAGATTTTGTTTGTGTTATCAGTTTAAAAAAGTATGAAATTCCAGATATGCTGGTATACACCTGGGGAGAAGGAAAACGAGGACAGCTCGGTTTAGAAGGAAGTCCTGATTGGATAGATGAGCCGAAGCTTGTCGAATGTCTTGTCAGCAAATCCATCCATATGTAAGCTTAAAAAAAAAATTATGTAAATAATTATTAACCGTTTGAAATTTAAAAGAATTGCCGCTGGAAATGGATTTAGTGTCTTTGTCAGCGACTCAGGTATGATTCTCACATGCGGTGATGGCAGTTTTGGCACATTAGGCCATGGAGACTGGGAGACTCAAGAATGTCCTAAATTAATTGGTAGTTAAAAACAATAATTTTCCAATAAAAATATTTCCAAGGTTTTTGTTTTTTTGTAGAAAAACTTTTAAATGTTGACATTGTCCATGTAAGTAGTGGAGAGTCGCATGTAGTGATTTTAACAAGAGATGGCGAATTGTACACTTGGGGAATGCTTCCATCTGGAAATAACATGTACTGTTTGCATACACAAAATATTAATTACAAAAGAAATTACAAAAGCATTAAACAAAATTTTTTTACAGATGTTCTCCAGGCTTAATAGAAATTCCAAACAAGGCAGTTCCTAAATCAGTAGTCGCTGGTCCAGATGCAATTGCTATGATAACTAACTCGGGTAGTTTGTTTGTATGTGGAAACAATACATATAACAAACTAGGACTGGATCTAATTCTTCTAAATTATGAGGTGACATTTATTTGTCAGTAATATTCAATTATTCTACTGAGAAATATTGAAATATTCCTTGCCATAAATTACATATTACACTAATAATTCAATACAACACTTACTTTTTTATGCTAATTTTTTATGAAGGCTGTTTGTTATTTTGTTCAGAGTAAAGTTCGAAAAGTTGAAAAGTTAACGCATGTGAAAGCTTTGAAAAAGTGGTTTGTCATTGGAGTCTCAATTGGTCGAAATCATTCAGTAGTGCTCACAAAAGATGGATATGTCATAACGATGGGGAGCAACTTGGAAGCGCAACTGGGCCATAATCAGAAATCACCTTCAATCGTCTCATCTGTCACAGACAGAGTTGTTACTGTTAGTATCTAAAGTTTGTCTAATTTTTAACTGAATATTTTACTAATTGCTACAAATTATCTAGATGGTGACATGTGGGCCGACATATACGATTATTGGTACTGAGGAAAATGCGATATACTTTTGGGGGACCAGGTTTACCCAAGTATTTATTTTTAATTAAAACAAAAATAAATTTCTAGCTTAATTGTATTAATTGGTCTATTATTTTTTATTTTTTTTTATATCAAACACATTTCACTAACTTCAATGGTTGGTCTGTGTTATTTTGTCCATTAAATTGTAAAATATTAAGGGTGTATCTACATTGTTTGAAAATCTAACACGCAGGCCAACTATCAAACTAAAGTGTCAAAATACGTCTGATATAATCACACCGATCATTGATGGTTAATCTACAGGATCACAATTTTTCGTATACTTTTAATTTGATATTTACAGACTTGTAGTCAGGTCGTTTCGGTATCTTACAGTATTGACTGATCAAAAACGACCAAAGTAAAAGTCAATCACCCCCTGTAGATCTCAACAAGAAATCTCATTTTTGTAGATTATTGAACGATCCAATGACTCAGCTCGGATATCCATGTCTACACTCGAATCTCAAGTTGTTAAAGACCCTCAGGAAGTATTGATGTAATATATTCTCTTAAAAGATGATTGTATGCTAATTAACTACATCATTTATATTTATTTCAGGTTGTATGCTTCACCAGAACAAATATCTAAAGGGCAAATAGTAAAATTAAATTCTATCTGTGCCCTCTGGCACTGCATATTTGTCCTTGTAGACACAACTGCACCATTGAGTATGTCTGAACCAATAAACCCTGAACCGCCGGTGAAAGAAGAAAAACAAGCAGACTTTGATACTTCTGGACCGGTTAGAACTAAAGCCATTTCTGATATTTCACAATTTTATTATTTCAATTGTTTTTTTCAAATTTTTTTCTTTTCTGTGCAGGTGCCTGATTGGATAAAAAAGGAACTTTCTCAAGCCACGCATGAGTGGGTAGGAGGAAACAATACATCGTATAAACAATATCTAACAAGTTATTAAAAATAACAATAATGAAAATTTTACTAACTCCAATATATTTATATATTTGTTCAATTTTAATTTCAAATTTTAAAAATATAAAATCTATTTTTTATTTTACAGATTAGGTGAAAAACATATTTATAAATAATACAAATTAGGATATAAAAATTAATATATTAAACAAGAAAATACAATTATCAAGCAAAAATTTTAACAATTTAGAAAAATACAATTTTTAAAACGATAATACCTTACGTATTAATTATCTTAAGAATATAAAATCACAACAATAATACTAAAAAATTAATTTTTAAAAAAGAAATAGGGAAATTATTGAAAGGGATGGTGCCGTAAACGACCAGCGTGAGTAAAACTTTGACTGCTGATGCAAAAAAAAAAAAAATATATATATATATATAATAAAAAAAACCATATTGTAGGTTACTTGACACAATACAAATTTATAAAAAATAGTTTTTCCTTGGTTTTTTAATCCTGTTTGCAACACAATTCTTCTCGATGGGAACCAACCTTTTCTTTTCATCCTTCCATACTTCATCATAATTGGTGACCAAATTCTGTAAATAAATCAAAAATAAAATTTCAATTTAAAAATAAATTTAAAAAACCATCAACGAACATCTAATATAGACTGTCCGGTTTCATGTGCCGTTGATTCTTCTTCAAAAACCGGTTCCTCTTTTATTTTGGTGTCTTTGTGTTTTTGTATCATCCTTAAAAAGAAAAAGAAATTACAATGATAAAAACAATTTTTGTAATCGTTAGCATTAAACACCTGTATGTCTCTGTAAAAAGTTTATTAATATTATCGTTAAACTCCAACTTGGTTTCGACAATACTATCAGAGTTTTTTTTCTTAAAACTCTCTATAGAATCAGTCTGGAAAGCGGATTCGTTAAAGTTATCAGTTTCAACATTACCTAGAATCATATTTTTAGAAAACTGTAACTAAAATTTATATATAAAATTTAATAACTTACGCCTTGAAATATCAGCACCTTCCATTTTGTATTCTTTCAACTCCAAGTCCTTGCTTTTGAGCATTGAGCATAAAACCTTTTGCTGTTCTGACAATTGATTTACAAGTACAACCATCGGTAGCATAACTCCACTGAAAAACTGGAAAGCATACGTTTGACATATTATTTTATACTAAGTGAGAAGAAACGATTGGCAAATGGATGCAAGAACAATTAGGCTGAAACTGTAGCAATTGATTTTGTACTGAATAGTGAGCTCAGCAACGAAAACATTATTCAGAAACAGATTTTGTCAAGGAAACCAGTCAAACTTTTGTTGTTCAAGTTATGAGTCATTCCTTTTAAGCTGAAACATGGCTTCAAATATGTGAACATCTCAGTTGACTTTTCCTATTTAACATTTTCACTACATGTGTGTTTTGTTTATTTTTTATAATAAAGTTAAACAATAAAAATGTGCGACAAGTGATGCTAAAATTAGTAGAATTTTATCCTGAGCATTACTGCCGGATTTATTGTTACAACATTATGATATTTGCTTTTTGCCTCGGATTACCAGGCAATGCAATGTTCATTGGCCAATCTTTAGCAGAGTTGTGTCGTCAATATTACTGAAATACCGTAATGAATCTCTGGGGTTGTTTATCTGTGCCTGAAGAATGTTCCTCTGGGGTAAGCGTGTAACATCTGAGGAGTATAAGTAAGTTATTTATAAGAATGGGTTCAACCCTGCCCGAGAAATACCAAGTACTCCGGGGGAGTGAATGTGGCCATACTTTTTGTATGTATCGGGTGGTGATGGATACCAGTGTTGTTGGAATCAAGTACTACTAATGTTGGGCGTGTGACTCTTATGCGCAGCAGGATGTTCACTGGCCACAATGCTAGTGGGTTATCAGATGCTATTTCTATTTATATTCATGTTCTTCTTCTCTATTCTATTCATGTTTTTGTGTTTATTTGGTAATTGACAAACAAGAGGGTAACATTTTAGGATATCTACATTGTGTACATATAAAAACAGAGAGTCAGTGATTGAGACACTCAAAAGGCTGCAGTTTAAAAAAATACACATGAAAGACCAGAAAAAAGAAGTGCGTAGAGGGCTGGCAATGATCTCAGCTGTTTGTCGGCCCATAACCAGCCAATTATAATGATATTTATACTTGTAATTACTACTTATAATAATCTGTTTGAGAGTAAGAAAGAACATTCAATGGTTTGTAAAAAGGATGACCAAATTTTATTGAAATATTCAAACAAAAGGATGCCAGACGACAGGACTATAAACAAAGTTTATTTGGGTAAGCCAGGTGGTGGATGGCTATGAGGAAGGCGTAGAAAGAGATGGTTGAATGACTTAAAGGACAACCTCAGAAAGATGCAGATTGGACAATGGAGGAGACGTGTGGAGGGCAGAAGAAACTGAGCGAGAAATGTAGAGATAACTAGGGGTGTAGCGCCGAGTAGTCGCAGTAGTACTTCAAACAAAAACTGGTTCAACCCTCTTTAAGCTTTTATTGGTCAACAAAGTTGAGAACAAACCTTTAGAAATAAAAAAGTGAAACATTACAATTGGCAAATTGGTCCATGAGCAACCAGTCTGAAACCCTAGCTTGAGAACTCAACAAAAACCACAATTGACACATGAATTAGCATGAACTATGCAAATGATTATTTGGAAATCGTGAGATGCAGTCTGGTGTGACGTAGGTTTAGAAAAACATTTTCTTTATCGTGCCAATGTTTTGATCTTTATTGAGATCATCTCCAGGTCCTGGGATTTATAAACATTGTTTAAATTAAACAAATACATGTAAGATGTGAAAATGAATTTACACAATGATAGAAATTTTAGGTACAAAGTATTTGTACTCACACAAAGTGTGTGTTTTCTGTGTAGATGTGTCATTGCTGTGTGTCGTGTTGAGAGTGAGAAAATGTTTTTCTACCACATCTCACGAACGCCAAATAACCATTAATTAACTGTCACTAAATAGCATTGATCAGTTGTACTTCACCATCAAGGGATAAAACTTCTTAAAGCTTTCTGGGCTAAGAAATTTAATATGTTGTAATGCATATTTCACCAGAATGTTATGCAGTTTAGTGATTAATTCGTTGAATGTGTTTTTAACTGTAGCTGACCTGACTAACCTTGAGAAACAAATTGTAGTTTTCAATTTAATTAAGAACCTCGATGCTCTTTAGAAACTATCATTCAATAAATGTGATATATGATCTTTCTTTATCAAGTTTATTTTAAATATGAATAGTCGACAAGCTTACATCCTGCATTGTTCCCTTATCGAGTAGAAATTTCAGCTTGACTTTGACTGGTCCTATTTTCTTGCTCACGTCAAGCACCAACGAACTGCCTTCCTCTTTCAAATCACAAGAATTGCTGTCTGACAGCATGGATGATACGCTCTCAAGGATTTTCTCATCGCTGGACTGCACCAGTGGGTTCACCGCCTGAGACAATTTATAACGAGGATCAAATAAAAACGCGAAAATTTACACTTTTATACCTTGAATTCACTCAAGAGGCTATCTTCACTCAAAATTTTCCTCCAAATCGATTTGAGATCGGTGATATCAATTGAAAATTTCTTATCACTCAGATCACTGTGGATGTAATAACTCTGGCCGTTTTTAACACAAATCTGTTTCATTTTTGTCACAGATTACTTACTTTAAATATATTTTAAATTTTAACAGTCTTTGAATAAGTAAACATTATAACAATTGATTGTAACCTGGTTCAAAAATAATAAACAATGAAGTACCCTACTTGCAACAGTGCTCAAGATCATTGCAGTATTTTTGCATATTACAACTGATTAATTTCTGGTGAGTCATTAGAAATATTTTTTGGGAATAAAAAATATCCACACCCAAGTTTAAGTTGTTTTACTTTCAAAATATAAAAATATAATCCGGCGGTTTAAACTAAATTAAACCATGCCAAAGCTTTCAGGAGCTTTTTCTGTTGGCGAACCTGAAAGCTCACAGAGTTTAGGGTGAGGTTGACACTTGACGGTGCTTAAAGCTCAGTGGGATGTTATTTCAGGGAATATTGAAAAATTTATGTTATTGATAGTTGTGTATAGTTTAATTGTTCGACTCTACCCCAAGTTACTCGAACATTTTTTTGAAGAACCAAAAAGTTTTTTCCCCAATAATTTTCATATACTAAGAACGTCAGGCATTATCATACTTTTATAGAAGGCAAAAATTATCTTCTTTATCTCGTTTCCGTTGGATGTGATAATTATCATGTACGCCAAAAGTAAGTAATGAAGTCTGGTGCATTTTATTATATTCATTAATATTTTAACGATCTCCATGATTTAATAAAAATTCACAAGCCAATGGAAGTAAGTGCATAAACTACATGTATAAAGATTAATGGTTGAACTTTATACACACAAAGACAGAAAAACCGGTCACTTGTATTTATTTGTTTAATTTCCATAATAATTTAGGCATAATATTTATATAGTTGACTTAAACCGTAAACACTACACTAATAACTTATTATCTTATAGAGTTATTAATCCAATGCTGGACATGGCGTCGTCTTGGGTGTGTTGTGCTCTACCATCCATGATAGTCTTCAGTGATTTAGGGTCATGGGAAGTCTGAATCGAAGAGAAGGTAGTGGTCGATCGCGGTGTAAGTCAGCTAGAGATGATCTTTTTATTGCTCTTACCGCATTATGGCACCATCCTGTAAAGTCTTCCTTGATTAACTCTAAATGGTCTGTAATGTAAGTGTGATCTCTAAAACAGTCCTCAGAAGGCTTGAGAATAGCCTGGTCGCTAGACGTCGGGTTCATTACTATTGGAAAGGGTCTGAGTAGAAAAACGACTGCCGCAAATCAGCATCTCACTTGGATTCTTGAACAATGGGGGGAGTGTTCTTTTCACAGACGTGTGCCGGTTTGGTTTGTAGCAATCAGATGACCGGGACTGTTTTTCAATGACAACCAGTGATGGTATGTGAACGTCATATAACACAGGGGGAATCAAGGTAAAGCCCATACCGAAGTGATAATCTTACAGAATGAATCTTTGAGCGCACTAAGATCCATTTAAGAAGTTATTCTGGAAGCTGATTCATTTTTTGGGGACTTCAACCACATATATCTCAAGTTTAAGTCCCAAGATTCTCCATTACTTTGGAGAATATAGGGTTTACACAATGAATAGGCAAGCATGTTCTCTCATATAGTACGCTTATGGATTACCCTCGTTCACCCTCTCCAACAGTCATTAACAGCTTCAAACTGCTCTCTTGGAGAATGGGATTCTTTTTCAGAAGACTAAATCCGATCGCTTATCTGCTCAAAGCCTAGGATTTTATTAAATGATTTGATTAATTATGTATTTCATTATAGTAGTTTTCAGTTTCATATGGTAACTATTGCTTTATTTTGTGTACCATTTGCTATTATAAATTTGTAGACAAAGGATAAAGTCAATAAGCTCATTAAAATAAATAAATGTATACTTATTTTAGTAGTTTGCCTGTTGGACATTGGTATTGGTGGGGGCTGGCCCTATTTTCTATTTCCCTCTTTTATAGGCCAATTGGAATTTTATTGATGCTTCCTTCTAATTGAGTCTGCTTTAGGAATGATGGACCCAAGCCGTGAGTCTGGCCTGGGCAGCGATACCGACAACATGGCCGAACTTGCTGCCCTCCTCAACACAGAGATCCCCGAGGGGCAGAACAACCTCACTGACAACTACACAAATCTAGAACGAGTCGCTGAATATTGCGAGGCTAATTATTTCCAGGTACAATATAGCAAAAGTACTTGATTACTTAAACTATTTTCTGATTTTAAAACTTTTAAAGTTTTTATTTTGAAATTTCATCATACAAATTTTTATTTTGTGGTTATAGGCTGAAAATAAAAGATACGCATTAGAAGAGACAAAAAATTACACAACACAATCTCTAGCCAGTGTGGCTTATCAAATTAATACATTGGCCTATAATTTTTTACAATTATTGAATTTGCAATCATCACAGCTCGAAGAAATGGAAGCTCAAATGAATCATATTCAACAAGTAAGTTAAAAAAAAGAAATAAAACTAATTGTAACAATTTTTGTTCAACCAAAGTTTGTTCAACCAGACTGTGATGATTCATAAAGAAAAAGTCGCCAGGAGAGAAATAGGTGTTTTGACCGCAAGCAAAACCATAATCAAACAACACCAAATATCAGCCCCACAAGAACCAGAAAAGCCTATTAAATACGTTAGAATGCCGATAGACTTTAATGGTAAGTAGATTAAAAGTTTTTGAATTTTATTTTTTCTTTATTTGATTTAACTTTTAGCACTCGATGAGATTGGCCATGGGTACAAGTCAAATACGTCAAGGGTGACCAAGTCACGAACTTCTTCCCAATCGAGCATGGTCATGAGCGGTGTCGGGCCAGCTCCAACGACGAAGCCACCCACCCCACCTTCAGCAATAAGGTCGACTGGGTCGCTTAGCAAAGGTTCTAGAGAGTACAGAACACCTCCTGCAGTGGCTCCACCTCAGGTAAAAAAATTCGTGAAAATGACTTCATAATCAAGTCAATTTCAAATGATTTGTAAACAAATTATCAATATTTATTATATCTCAACTAATTTTTATTTTACCATGATGAAAATTATTGTTTTATTATTAGTTAAATGTTTGTTGAGATTTTTTTAAATTGAAAACTTAGAATTTATTATATCCAGTAAAACATAATGGACACATTTTCTTTTTTTTTTTGTTTGTTTGTTCATTTTGAGATATTGTGTCCAAACTGATTGGAAATAAGTCAAGAACAAAGAAAATTATAATCAGCTCATTTTTTATTCCACTCCTTTGTCTAAATAAATTAAAATTAATTATTTAAGTCACAAAATAAATACGTATGTAATTAACTAATTAATATTTTAAAAATGAAGCAGTTATTATTTTGCTCCAAACTTTATATCAGTGAGATAGTAGCGTGCGTGCGTGTCCAAACTGATTGGAAATAAGTCAAGAACAAAGAAAATTATAATCAGCTCATTTTTTATTCCACTCCTTTGTCTAAATAAATTAAAATTAATTATTTAAGTCACAAAATAAATACGTATGTAATTAACTAATTAATATTTTAAAAATGAAGCAGTTATTATTTTGCTCCAAACTTTATATCAGTGAGATAGTAGCGTGCGTGCGTGTGCGTGTGTGCGTGTGTGTGTGTGTGTGTGGTGTATTTATAAATAATGTGAAATGACTATACAGACCAACCCAGGAATTTTAATAATGATTTTACCATGTAGAGAATAAAAACAAAATGTGTAATAAGCTTAAAAAGTCGAGCTGAAAACATTCACTGTCATAAGCTTCTAGAATTTATGTTGCAAAGGGAATAAATATTTCTGTTTTCTTACAAAAATATTGGCCTACTTTGACACCTGACCATTGTTCTTAAAAATTATAATTAAAAATGTACTATAATCCTGATGATAAGAATTGTACCATACACCTAATTTGGAAATTTTATGATTGTTTATTTGTGAAGCTGTAAAAAAAAATGCTTTTTTATGTGTAGAATTTAAAGGGGCATCATTAAAAATGTACAGTGGGAAAGATATTTATATACAAGCACGTTTGCACATGCATCTGTGTTGTTTTACCATCATAATTTAGATAGTCGATTTGTTTTATTTTTTAATTTATTGCTTAACCTTCTGGCAGGTGTTTTCAAAAATTACATTTACATTTTTAAATAAAATTTATTTTAATTTCAAATTTAGTAAATTTATAAAATAGGTGCTCATGGGTCAGTTTAACTTCTCGTCGTTTTTTTTTTCTCCCTTTAGGACAATTTCAGGAAAATCCCCAAGGCACATAAACTTTTATTTTTATCTAGTTTCTTAAATTCTTCTTAAGCTTGCAAATGGCAAGATAATCGTCGAATTGCATTCTGTTAAAGGGATTTTGACACTGAATTTAAAAGTAAAACAGTGTTTAGTTTGGAGCAACTGTTCTGTATGTACATGTCAGAAGGTTAAATATTTAAAAATTAATATTTTTTTTAAATAGTTTGAAGTGATCTAATTACTTTGTGTGGAATTTATTACAATTTGCCATAAAGATATAAAAGTGGAAAAAAGCTGAATTTTTGGTTAAGGAAAAAAATGTTAGTGTATTCTGTATCTTCAGACAAATTTTAAACGGTTTTACTTTCGCAGCATTAATTTATTATTCTTTTTTTCTGAGGTCTTAACTGATGTCTATTTGGTTTCAAGGCGAATGCTGGTTCTAAGGCAAGCCATCGTATATCAAAAGTAAAGGTTTCTTCTTTATTGTATGCTTAACTATTGGGCGCCGGGTTGTTAACCCCTCCTAGCTTTTTTCCTTTAAAAGACTTCTGGATGCAAGTGTAACCCTGGATGTAACGTTCTTTGTTAACAATGTAACATTTTATTGCTTTGCACATTAACAATGCAATTATTTTATAAATTTGTTCTCTAATGAGCAATGGTTTGCAGGTGCCGAGTCATTATGCTCCAAACTACCCGATGGGCCATGCTAGGAGACAGGGAGGAGGTTATAGTACTCTTCCACTTGCAAGTAATCCCGCTCATCACTCACAGCCTAACACTCCTCCACCTCCTCCTTCAAGCAACAACATCAACTCGTACACTTTAGATCATCATACTTCCATGCCTCGTATGTTCTTTTGTGTTTTGACTCAACACTTGTTCTAACATTATAATTTCAATATTGCAGCTCCACCGTCTCCACTTACATTGGCCCATGGAGGAATGGAACCTATCGATCCGAGGGGTGGTGTTATGACACTTCCTCATATGGCTAGATCTTCACCTCCTCTTCCGCCGCCACCGGCTCCAATTGACCAACCACCTCCACCAATGTTCACTCCCATGCCAATTGTCACAGATGAATTGGACCTTCCTGGTTGGGTTCCCAAAAATTACATTGAAAAAGGTTTGATTGTTGACGTATATTTGTACTGAATACTTTTATATTGTTCTAATTCGTACAAATAATTTATAGTTGTGGCTATCTATGATTACTATGCAGACAAAGATGATGAGCTGAGTTTCCAAGAGTCTGCTATTATTTACGTTTTGAAAAAGAACGACGACGGCTGGTGGGAAGGCGTCATGGATGGCATCACAGGCCTCTTTCCTGGAAATTATGTTGAGCCTTGTGCATAATTGTGCATAAAATAACATACAAACACAAGCCGCTCCTTGAATCTTTGAGACTTTTCAATTTTGGCAATTTTATTCTTATCCTATTGTGTCGATTCAGTCGTCTATCCAATGATTTATAAATGTTTTGCAGCCAGAACATGTTTTTTTATGCGAATACTATATTGTTTAATTATTTAAAGATGGTGTTAAAATGAGGTTTATTTATTTATTTAGACAGGTTTTGTTTAATTGGTATAAGCAAAAGAAGAACAAAAAACATCTTGTCACATAATGGTTATATTTAATGTTCATGTAAGAATTAAAACATATGTAATTTACACTGTTTACACAGTCTTTATACAAGTGTATGAAATTAGCAATTTTCTACTAATTACTTAATTATAATAAGAAAAATATTATATTGCAGCCATAGATTATTATTTTTTATTTATATATATATATTTAATTTTTAAAACAGGTAAGTATTTAGATCATAGTTGTATTTTGTAAATATGGTAAATTTGTACTACATATAGTTGTTTTTTTTTTATACTAATGTTATTTAAGTTTATTTGGTATATCAAAATACTTTATGTAATATTATTTTATTCAAAAGAATTACAATTATTTACCCGATATTCTGATTATTTCTTTTCTATTCGCTCACTCACTTTTCTGATTTATATGGGCTCAACACTGTGTATATAGTAATTCAGATATCGTGAGATGCGGTCAGGTGTGATGTAGGTTTCAGAAAAACATTTTCTTTATCGTGCCAACGTTTCGATCTTTTATTGAGATCATCTTCAGGGCTCAAAGTGTTTGTCTTCTGTGTAATTGTGCCATCCTTGCGTGTTGTGTTGAGAGTGCCTACACTCAGATGATCTCAATAAAAGATCGAAACGTTGGCACTATAAAGAAAATGTTTTTCTGAAACCTACATCACACCCGACCGCATCTCACGATATCTGAATTACTATCGATTAACGGTCACTAATCTCTACACATTTCTGTGTATATACATACATACACATGTATAGAGTTGTGAACCTAACACTTCCCACTTGCCAGCCACTACCTTGTATCTTCAATGCCATGAATTCTCCAGGTAACTGATGCAAATTGTATACATAAAATTTTATTTAAAAAAACACTTTCTATGGGGCCAATATAATTTATGTATATTTTTTGGCCCTTAAAATTGATATTCATATTTATTAATTTTATCTTATTTTTAATGTGCTCAATTTGTTGCGAGCAAAAATTAATGTTTGATGCTAGTTTTAAAATAAATTTAGTATCACACAATTTTTATTTTTTACACAATTTAAGAAAAACGTGGGGTGTGCCAATGCTTTTTTGACCCACTGTAATAAATGTTTAAAATAACAATGGATCAATTAAATTGCCATTACCGCTTTTGGTAATTTACAATAAATTACTGGCAAGCCTCGGGTTTTGGCAGTCTACGGTAAGTCCTCGGTTCTATCTCTCTCACAGCCGAGGATAGGCTCCAGCGACTTTCAACAGCTAGCTCATTTCAGCACCCTACGCAATCAGTGTCTAGATCCACTCACGCTTAAATACATTATTTTCTAAACACCATTTACTCAGAGTGTTGTTAAACTCAATATTCCTCCATCCTCCACACATTATATCACTATAAATTCTAATTGAGGGTCAATATTTTGTATTTGGGGCATATGTTTAAACGAATGAATAAATAAATAAATTTGTGGTAAAAAAAAAATTTCCGTGTGGTTTTTTTAACTAAATTTCCTGCTTTATTTTTACATTAAATTGCATTCGGGAATTTACACCCGTCATCAGAATCTTTTTTTTAAATTTTAAATTAGGTATATAAAGTTAAGATATATAGTCATAGATGGAAATGTAGACCCATTGATAGTAATAACCAATAATAATATCATTAGTAATAAACCGTATATATTAGGGGAAGTGGAAATTTTTATTGTATTTAGCCGTCAAAATAGGTTTTGTGTTTCTGTGTTTTGTATGAATGAGTGTATTTATTAGAGTGAATGGGAAAGGGCTGATGGTGGAATAGCATTCCCATCGCCCCTCGAGCTGTGTACGTGACTTGGGTGAACGGCGGAATATTTATAAAAGTACCCCGATTAGATTAGTTTGTTCTTGTATGTAGGTCGATGGAGGAATATTGAGTACTCCATCCACCAAATAGAATGAATGCAATGTACATAGGTGTGAATGTATTTATTAGTGTGAATGTGTATTGAACGTGTGTTGTAATATTTCGCATGCGCTCGGGGGTGACCAAGGTGTCGGATGCTCCTAAGAAAAATAAATGAAAGCAATAATAAGTAATAACCAATAACAATGGTTCAACCATGTAACATGACCGTACGTAGCATAACATGGTAACATGGACTCTTGAGTATTATGAAAATTATTTAAATTACACTTATGTATAATACAGTTGGAAGTGTTTGAGTTTTTAGTGTTTTCTTGGAAATTTAAAGGTTGGAGTGTGAACTGCAACGCCACCATGCTTCAGGTCAAGCATGCATCATGAGGACAGAGACAGAGGATAGTAATTGGCTACTTCAGAATTCAGATCAGTACTGAGCATTGCTCGGTTTTGATTAGACAATTGTCATAGCAACCACGTGTTGCGTCTAGTTTTAGTAGCCACGTGCTTTTTGTTTTGTTTTTTATTCTCAAAGTTTATCGATTGTTATATAACTGTTTTCCATAGTTAAAATATTATTTCGTCGTCATAATGTCTCCGTTAACGTGTAAAATAGGCCCTTCGATATTGAACGCGGATCTTTCGATGCTGTACGAAGAATCACAGAAATTGCTGGACAGCGGTTCCGATTATCTTCACTTGGACGTGATGGACGGACACTTCGTGCCGAACCTCACCTTCGGCCACCCGGTAGTCAAGTGCCTTCGTAACAAGCTCGTAAATGCCTTCATGGAGGCACATATGATGGTCTCTAATCCAGATCAGGTAACGATGGGTAGTTCTACCCTGATGTTTCGTTTCTAAAATATCTGTTTAAAGTGGATCGAACCGATGGCTGATTGTGGCCTGGACCAGTACACATTTCACGTCGAGGCTTCAGACGACGTCCTAGCCACTTGCAGGAAGGTCCGTGAATTAGGGATGAAGGTAAGACCATTAGAACAACCTGACATAATAAGTACCATTTTAGATTTATAACTTGTACAAGTAAGAATAAAGCCCAGTTTACACGGAGGTATGAGAGATCGTATTGAGGAAATCGATGTGACAGGGACAGATACTGTGATTCAGACAGGGAGATTGGCAGTATAAGATAACGATTTTAAAACCCCCATACAGTTACGAACAAATTGCACAACTGAGGCTGTTGTGCAAACAATTGTATAGTGTATGGTGGTGTTTAAATGGCACCATCCTCTGGTGCACAGATGGATCTAGAATACAAGAACGTACACAGGTAGGAATATTTGGACCTGGAACTAAATACTCAGAACCCATGGGAAAACACCAGTATCTTCCAAGCTGAAATTCATGCAATCGAAAGATGTACCCAACTCAACATAAGTAAAGGGTACAAAAACAAGAATATAGCTATCATGTCAGATAGTCAAGCAGCCATCAAAGCACTATGCTCAAATATCATTAGTTCAAGGATGGTGCTGAACTGCAAAACCGAACTAAACATACTAGGTACGCAGAACAAAGTCAGCCTCTGCTGGGTCCTAGGACACGTGGGAGTAGAAGGCAACGAGAAAGCGGACACCCTTGCAAGAAAAGGGGCTGCTATACCGCTGATAGGACCTGAACCCTTCTGTAGCATAGGAACCCCACATTATTAACGAGTTCTCAGACAGAAGGACAAAAAGAAAATGTGGGAACTTTGGAATTCACTCATTGGACACTAACAATCCAAGAATCTTCTAACCAACTGGTAGGAAAGAAATTATAGAATGTGTCAAGGGAAGCAGGAACAAACTGCGAATCCTAATAGGATTCCTAACAGGACACTGCAAATTAAATGGACACTTAAAAAAATGGGAAGAAATTGTCTAAGAAATCCAAAGAGATGTGGAATTTTAGAAGTACATGATTGTGTATAAATTTGTATCAAATGTACAAAAATTGTAGTAAAAAGAATGAATTAATATGTAAATAATTTTTTAAAATACATTAAAAAAAAAGTATCCATCTATCTACCTACACTATCATTAGTTATCTGCAGTTTGATCTTCATGGGCAAAAATTATAAATTTTATGGCCTTTTTACATTGCTTTGATGCTGAATAAACATTCTACTTAAATCCCAAAACGAAAATGAGGGAACTATGGAATTCACTCATTGGACGCAATCCAAGAATCTTCTAACCAATTTTTGAAGGAAAGAAATTTCAGAATGTGTCAAGGGAAGCAGGAATAAACTGCGAATCGTAACAGGATTCCTAACAGGACACTGCAAGTTAAATGGACACTTAAAGAAGACTGGAATAATCCAAGATGGCACATGCAGATTCTGCAAGGAGGTAGAAGAGACATTTACTAACAAATTGCGGAGCCACACTAGCCTGCAGGAGGAAATGTTTTGGGATGTATAATGTGACCATAGAAGACTTCAACCATTGAAACCGGGCCTACTAATCAAGTTTCTTGATGAAATAGGACTCACTGATGTGCTTTAGGCAGAGCTCGGGGGATACAATAGCTCTCAAAGGGCGCAGTATACTACACCCTGTAACTATATCTACATCTACGACTACATGGTGGTGTTTGAGGTGCTATGCAACTAGTTGCAGAAATTCAAAACTATTTGAAATTAATTGCACAACAAGTGGTGTTATGCAACTGTCGCATTGCTTGTATAAATGGTGTCACCATTTCTAGTAATTCACCAAAAGTTATGGGGTCTATTCGCAAATAATTTTTATAGTCAAGTGATGAACTCGATTGAAGTTCTTTGAGGAGATTCGCGTGGTGAAAAACAGATCTTCTCTTTAACCACTCTTTGCTTCCTTTTTCTGTTTTGAACACCAACATCGGACGCAATATAAATTATTATGGCTAAACAGGTCGTGTTGTGAGACGCCATGCTACCATTAAAACAAGACAAAGTGTGCAAAAAATGTGTATAGTGTATGGGGCCTTTGTTTGCAGAACAGCCTATTGTACAATGTACGTTGGCACAATTTGATCGAAGGTGTATGGGGGGGGGGCTTTAGTCGCTTGATACTTTTAAAGGTGACTGACAGGACATTGCATGGTGTCATTCAAACAATTTGAATATATCGAGCAGATTTCTCAGTTCGATTCTTGTTTTACTTTTACCTTTGTAAAAACTTTTACCTTGTAACTTTTAAAAATGGATAGAAGTGACATTTTTGATAATGACAAACTAATTTCATTAGTGCAAACACATCCCATGATAGCTTTAGGCCAACAGTGGCCCCAATTATGCTGATAAAGTTAAAAAATAAAATGCTTGGTTAAATGTGTTGCAATCGCTTTACAAGAAGAAGATTTATTTGGGATGTGCAAAAGAAGAACGAAATCGGCATTTTTTAAATTACCTTTTAATAACAATTGTTTTAATATTGTAGTAGTCAATTCCTAAAGTAGTGTATTGAATCTCAGTCCTATTCGGCCCAATTGAGGAAAATTATATGATCTTCAGGAGCCACCCACTGAATAGCATAGCAAGTTATCAAGAAAGAGGAAATCACAACATGAAAATAATGAGCATCTGGCCGAAGTTTTAGCACACAGATTAAAGTGGAGGCAGGAAAGAGAAGAAGCCATAGAGAACGACTCAGATAGGTTATTTCTATTATCCTCTCAGAGACGGCAGATGAAATAAATATCGTAACTGCCATCAATGATGGTCCCAACCCGAAATGTTTGTGTCAAATGAATCGTTTAATTATAATCATGCCAATTTCGTGTTCTTATGCTCATTACACTCCAGTTTCAACAAGATTTGACTTCCTACTGATTGTCTCAACCAAGCAACTCACAAACTACATCAACCCAGACGGTTCCCAACTTTCGGCTTCAGAGGTTTCAATCCTGAAATTAATTTAAAATTTTCAATTTCTAATGATATAAAATTGTACGCTCAACCTTTTATATTAAAAAAAAACAAAAACATTTTATACCTTTTGAATAGTTATTTCATATGTTGATAATATATAATAATAAATATTTTCAGTAATAATATAGTTAAATTATATTTTCAACTGGGGGAGCTGGCGGACAGGGTGGGAGTAGATTTGTCCGTTTTGCAACCCGAGAGTAAGGCTCTCTCTCTTCAACTCCAGTCAAGTATTAGTCGACTGAAAGATAGTTTTATGGTGAGTAACATAGAGCGAGTGCAGGCTTCCCATCGATACCGTATATATAGGATGCTGGATCACGGAGTTAGATGTGCCAGCTTTGTTGGGGACCAAAAGCCAAATAAGAACATTACAGACATACGTTGGATCCTAAAACTGAGGGGAGAATTGCTGAACCTACGGCATAAGCCGTATGATCTCCTCAGCCAACAGGAGTGTGAGTTATGCAATTACCGGGTAAAGGAAGACATGTTCCATTTTGTCGCGGAATGCCCCATTCTGTCCCCCTATCGTTTGTCTGCGTTCGGCGAAAGAACAGTATCAATGGACAGATGTATCAGATTGCTCAACGGACCAGATTGGACAAACTTAGTAAATTATGCTAAAGCGGTCTGGGCCTATCGAAGGCTAATAGTAAACTAATTTAATTAGTAATTCTCTTTTCTTTTCCTCTTTTACTGCCCATGTTTTTGCTCCCGCTCTTTTCCTTGATATTTGGTGTTTTTGTTTCTCCGGTCTCAGCTCCACTCATTGATTTTTACTTCTCAGTTTTGTGTCCTTTTGATTTAGTATTTTGTTATAGATATTACGCTTAGCATAGATTTAGTTTAATGTATTTGTACGTTTATTTTATAGGATTAGTCAATAATTAATCCAAGCTCCGGCAGACAGTTACCTTGCCGTGTTAAGTTTATTTTCTTGTCTGAATTATATGTAATTTTTTTTTCTTCTTGTATGCAATAAACTTATTATTATTATATTTTCAATTTACCTTAGTATTACTGAATTACTGCGGTGCAATGCTATCTCGCATGTTGGTATTCTTCTGGATCATGCATTGTATTTTGGATAACAGATTTTCAAAAGAAGGTAATGACATGCGGTAATAATTGAAGAACTTGTTAGAACCATCCCAAAATTCTTTATTTCATAGCCTTTTGTGTCATGTTTCATAATAATTGGATGAACCCATATTATTATACTTTTACTTGTTTTTCGCCTAATTAAATGCCAAAGAGCTACAGCTTCTAACTCGTCAAAATAATAAAACTTCTAGATCTTTAAACCACTCGGGAGAGGATTGAGAAGAGATGGAGGAGAGGTGACTGATTCTAGTCGCCTGGTTACTTTTTTGTATCTCGTGCCTCCATGTGAACCGGGCTTAAATTGTTACTGTGAGTATATTAAAGAATGTGCGAGGTGGTATCACAATTATTTCTGATCAGTGCTTACAGTAGACAAGCAACTCAGAATTTTGAACACCAACAATCATTCAGTCCACTTCATAGATCCTAAAAGTTTAGCGCAAACAGACTACATGGCGTTCTGTCAATAGTGGGTTTAAAAATATTCGTGACCACCTCACAGAATTTCTTTGGCAAAGATATGTGCGGCTCAGGAAAGCAGACCCATTTCAAGACTGTAAAATATTGCTACACTCTGCATACTTAACTCATAACTATGTAACTGTTACTGTTATATATTGAAATGTATTATTGATATTGAAGAAGGTGTTGATAAACAGATTGAACCAACAGTGATCAGACAGCATAATCATAACTGGAGCATATACTAAAGTTTCTCACAAGTTAGTTTCTTTAGTATAAGCCCCTGGATGGTTTTATTTACCTTTACATAGTAACTTCATTATTTTTCCTATTTTCCATTTAAACTAGAGAAAATCTAGTTTACTATGGTATTACTGAATGCTAAGATCCATGGGAAAATAACTAGAAGTTTATTTTCAAAATAGGAGATTATACTAAAAGACACCTGTGGGCAGTTCTCAGTGCTTTATAAACTAGCTAGGATCCACAATACTGTGGCATATTGGGTAGTTTCAAAGAAAAATATTCTTTTTAAATTTCAGGTCGGTGTGGCATTTAAACCGAACACTGATGTTATGGTAGTCAAACATTACGTTGATGATGTTGATATGATACTGATCATGACGGTCGAACCAGGATTTGGGGGTCAGAAGTTCATGAGTGACATGATGAAGAAAGTCAGATGGCTTAGGGACAACTTTCCAACGATGGATATTGAAGTTGACGGTGGTGTGGGTCTTAACACCATTCAAGAATGCGCTGAGGTATGTAATTAATTCTAAATAATTCTTCACAAGAATAGGATATATTTAGCTTCTAGGTGAAGTTGTACACTGCCAGTCAAAATTTTAGGACCAACTCAATTTTTTGCAATAAAAAAATGAAAATAAAGATTTCAAACAAAATTTTTATTAAAACAATGATAAGATATCTGTGAAATAAATGTACATAAAATGGTATACAGCAATGTATTAATAGTAATAATGTAGAAAAAATTGATCTCTACGTTTTTTTTTCATCCAAAAATCCCCCCTTGCTTGACGGCTTGGACTACTGGTAACATTCTTTCTACAAGTTTTTCTAATTTTTCAAAAGGCATGTTATTCCAACAACTTTGGAGGAGCTACCAAAGGTGTTTTTGTGAAGTTGGGGCATGAGTTCGGATGTTCATATCCAGGTCTTAAAGCATTCAGTTGAGATTTGGAGATTGAGCTGGCCAAGTCATGTTCTTCAAAACACCTTCATTTTCTTTTTCTTGTAAGAAAGAAAGCCTCTTCATAGTTTGGATGATTATTTAGGATCATTATCTTGTTGCATAATAAAACACCACACACAAATAAAACCAGAACTAATTAAACAAAAACCAGAAGGGATTGTGCAGTCTTTCAAAATGTCTCTTTGTTGAGTATTCTTTGAATTTGTACAACATCTCCTTGTTCAAAGCCCGAAAAACACCCGTACACAAAAACTGAACCCCCCCCCCCATGCTTAACAGTTGGGATTATGCACTGAGGAATAAACTTTTCTGATGAAGTATGACAAATCATAATCCTACAACTTGATCCAAATACATGAAACTGATTTGACAGTCCAGAGTACGTTTCTCCAATCCTTCACTGTAAAATACTTATGAGCAAGTGCTCACGATATCTTTTCTTCTTATTAGCAGGACGTAAAAGTGGTTTCAGTGTAATGATACGCCACAACAAGTTGGCCTCCCTGAATCTCCTTGTTACAGTTGAAACAGAAATTGATTTTTTGGTAGTATTAACCTCAGCTCTAATCTGGGACCAGTGAGTCTTCTGTCCCTCTTGATTTTCAAAATAATACTATCTTCCTGGTTAGATGTTATTCTGGGTTATCCTGATCGAGCTTTGTCATGATGAGAGCACCTTGAAGTGAGCAATGGTATTATAGAACCCTGTTTTTGACATTTTCAGTTGAGCGGCTTTTTTTTTTTAAATTTTACTTTCGAGCAGGATCGTGGGCACAATCCCCCGGCGAAAAACCCCGCCCCCGCCACATCCCCCCACCAGGGCAGGAGAGGAGGAAGACCCAATAACATTGAGATAATGTTGGAAAAGTCCACGTCCTCGAGGAAACTGGGGCTAATTCACCCTGTCTCCCCCCTGTCCACCCCAACAGGATTGGCCGACCAGGACCAGGCCCCCACCGCATGCCCGCACCCACTCACTCCGCTCAATCATCTTCTAAATTTTAATGGTTGAAGCTAATCAAAAAGTAACATTTATCAACTTTAGAAATCTATAGATTATGTTGAATGCTGCTGGATTGTTGCTTATTAGAACAGATTCTAAGTTTATTGGTTTGGGAACGTTTGGGACTTTGCTCAGATTTTTTAGCAGTTTTTCTCTTTCCTTTTCGTATTCTGGGCATTCGAAAATTATGTGGGAAAGATTTGAAGGGCAATCGCAAGTGGGACAGTTCGGAGACAATGCCAAATCGAATCTCTTCTTGTAGCTACCCCATAGGCCATGATTTGTCTTCAGTCTAATAATGGTAGAATAGATGAGCAGCAATTTGGCTTGTTTACTTTGTGTAGTGTGTAAATCGCACTGCGCAGGTTACCAGAAAATTCCTAATTTTTACCATTTTTGTAAGTGAAAACAGAAAAATAGAAACAGACAATTAAAATCTTCAAACTTTGTGGTCTGAAACGCACTGAAAAGAAACTAATGTCAGAAATGTAGATAGACCGGAATGTAAACAAAACTCTAGACACAACAAACACAATTAATTCTTAACGATTATTAGGGCATTGTCATTGACAGAATTAATGAAATTGTTCTTAATTACAATCTTAATTTTTCTCATAGTTTTTCTTACATCTGATTAACAGAATTGACCTTAAATGCAAGTTTCTACAGGGTATTGTGTGTAAGCATGTATTTAAAATTAGATAATCGCTGTTTTAAGTGATTTTGATTTAAATATACAGGTGATCCTAAACTTTAGACCTCCAGTGTATATTCCAAGCGATCGACCAGCCTTTACTCTATAATAGTCTTGTGGATTAGGGTTGTGGTCAGAAAAACAAATAGTGCTGTTGCACCTACTATACAATAAAGAAATATATCTTCGAAAGCTTGGCGTTGTACATTAGCACTATTTGTTTTTCAGACCACAAGACTTTTCTAGGTGAAATTAGAAAAATGTTTATTTTGTGATGTCCACAAAGTTGGCACGGTACTCACTAACGGAAGGTCCGGTATGGGATCGGCTTTCAGCTACTCTGAATTCAGTCCCTACCCTTTTCAAAAAAGAGTTTCTTTGATGGAAGAAGACCGGCACACCAGGGGTTCAAATTTTTGTTTCACACAAGTGTTGTTGCGAGCTCCCAAAAATGTAGCTAGGGAGGAGTACAATAAGCTATAAAGCTGCAGTGCTCAGGGAACTCCTCCAGTTCCTGATATCCACAATAAATTAAATTATAAAATAAAATTAAACAAAAGTAATTTTTTAAACAAAAGCGCTCTTTTACAGGCTGGTGCCAACATGATTGTATCAGGGACGGCTGTGACTGGTGCTACAAATCCTTCAGAAGTAATAAGCAAATTAAGGGAAGTTGTACAAAGTAAATTGTAAAGTTGTTTATTCTTTTATATATATATATATATATATAATATCTAAAAACAAACTGTTAGTTTTATGTTTATAATTTTTGTATTTTTAATAAAATTGGGTTAGGGTTCTCCTTAAAAAATAAAAAATTAATGCATTGTCTTAATATTTATTGAATTTATTTTCCACTCTTTTATTTATTTGCTTACTGGCAAGAATCCTCACCAAAGATGGTGTGAAGCTGAAATGCATGAGGGAAATTTTAACCACTAATTGTAAACAGACCTGGTAAAGTGGACGTGTCGATGGATCCACATCTTAAAAATAATTTAAAAACTGGCTAGTGATGGCATTTAAACATAAACTTGATAGACCATGATTGTAAATAATTCATGAAAGCAGTAAATGAACTTTGGTTAGTTTTTTAAACACCCAACTAATATTTAGGGTCTGTAATAAACAGGGTCCTTTAAAAGCTTTTGTATCCCCGTCCTAGTCCATTAAGAAATTTGATTTATAAGCCTGTTTTCACTTTCTTCCACGTTTATGTTAAACATCCCAAAGACTTTCTCCTGTGAGTTCAAGCATCAGTTTGTTAGGTGTGTTGATGACTCCTCTGCTTTCTTGCAGAATCTGCATATACCGTGTTGGATTAAACCAATATTCATACCTGTCTCGGTGTCCTGTTAAGTTTTTTATTTTTTAGCTGCTTCTTTTGATACATTCTGTTGTTTCTTTCCTTCCAAAACTCACTAGGAGGTTCTTGGAGTGTTTCCAGTGAGCAAATTTTACTGTTAACACATTTTCATCCTGTCTTTTTGTCTAAGATACTCATTGATAGTGTGCACCCCTACACCCCAAAAGGGTTGGTGCATACCTAATTTATTTGGTTGTTTGCACATTAGCACCATTTGTGCAAATGATGTTAGAGCTTCATGCTTTGCCCCAGTTGAACTGAGTACATTTCTCGATTGCATGGACCGGAAGATACTGGAGTACTTTTTCATGAGTTACGAGTAGTCGGTTCCAAGATTGAACATTGCCTTCATACCTTCTTGTTCTAGATCCATCAGTGTACCAACTGATGGTGCAGTTCTTGACGTTGGATCGTTCCCTATTTTTTTTTTTCTAGGCCTGTTCGGATTTTTTTTTTTTTTTTAATTTAAACATGTCCCTGGGGGCTATGTTCCCTAATTAGGCTTTTATTTCATCATTTAAGTTTTGTCCTATTGAATGGTTTTTAGTGATAGATTTTCTATGTTGCTCTCGTTATCATATGGTGGAGGAGGGTTAGTCCCAATATCTTCTCCATACAAGATTTTATGTCTTACCATTATAGTGTACTCCAACTAGTAACAATTTTTTTTAACCAAAATTTTTCTATTCATTTTTTTAATAAATTCCAGTTACAGAACAGGTTGAGTGGATAGGACACAGCATCTCAGCATATCACCGACCCCGAGGATTAAAAAAGAAGTAGTTGCCATTTCTGGCACATCATAATAATAAAAGCTGGCTAGTTAAACTCATACATTGGAATTTCCTTTTTTAAAAAAGATAGTTCCTACTCACAGTAAGTTGTTTTCCAATGATCCGGATTTCGAGCCCCTTAGCTCATCATCAGGTTGAAGGATTTCTACAAGCATGTCTCTCGACATGAATTGCAAAAGTGAACCTGCCAATACCCCCGCCAACGCGACGTTCCAATGAGGAGCTGGTTTCATGGTGCTCAATTTGAACGTGCGAAAAACAGGAATTATAACACAAGTAAATATTATAACGGTAATTTCTGTAAGGAATTAATTATAAATTAATGATTAAAGATACAAAATTAGAATAATACCTTATTATTATAAAAATAATAACAATTTAAAAAATTAATTTAATTATTTGGATGTTTAATTTAAGTTTTGTAATACATATTATTTATGTACATATTTAAAATGAAAGGTAGATCAAAATCTATTATATTATTAATGCATTTATCTCCATGTTCAATTTTACATTTTTTAATTTCAAATTTCTCAAACCAATCTAGTTCTCTCCATTTGTTGAAACTACGTAACACTGTCATATTTAAATTTGAATTGAAATTTTGTTTTGTTTCTTTTAGATTGTCCTTAAATTGCGAAAATTTGTTCAATTTAGGCAAGTGTTCTTTTACTCTTGTTTTTATTTCTCCACAGCTTTGTCCTATATATTTAATATCACAATCATTACAATTAAGTTGGTAAACGCTGCTTTTTGCCAAGTTGTCTACCTTGCCTTTAGGTTGTGAGAGGATGTTTTTAAGTGAACCCGTGTTTCTAAAAGCTATTCTAAAACCTCGTTTAAAAATTTTACTAACTTTTTCCAACAATTCACCAAGGACACTTTTTTTCAACAAAAACGCAAAAAATCGAAAAAGAATTATTTTCTTTTTTGATGTAACAGACTCGTGCTTTTACATTGAAAAAAAAAAAAAAAAATTTTTTTTCAATTTTTTGGGGTTTTTGAGTTTTTCTTTAAAAAAATGTACACAAAAGGCTCCCAGAACACTTTTTTTTCTCGAGAAAAACGCAAAAAATCCAAAAATATCGAAAAAAAAATGTATTGTCTTTTTCAATGTAAAAGATTCGTATTTTTACATTGAAAAAGACAAAACTTTTCGATATTTTTGGTTTTTTTTACGTTTTTCTTGACAAAAAACGTGTCCTACGAGCCTTTTACATAAAAAAAGGCAAAAATTTTTCTGGGTTTTTGTTGAAAAAAAAAAAAAAAAACGTATCCTACTAGCCTTTTACATCAAAAAAGAAAATAATTTTTTTTTTGATATTGTTGGATTTTTTGCGTTTTTCTTGAGGAAAAATATAAAAACATGTACTACGAGTCTTTTACATCGAAAAATATAATAAATTTTTTTTTAGTTTTTTGCGTTTTTCTTGGAAAAAAAAAACAAAAGGCTCGTAGGACACTTTTTTTCAACAAAAACGCAAGAACAAAAAAATATGTCTTTTTCAATGTAAAAGGCTCGTACTTTTACATCGAAAAGACAATAAAATTTTTTTAGATATTTTTGGGTTTTTTGCGTTTTCGCTTACTTCAGGGTACTTGAGGGTCGATGGGGTACCCAATATCACTATATACTCACATTTTATATCAAACGTTTATATAAAAAAAGAATAAACAATTTTCTGGGTTTTTGTTGAAAAAAAAACGTGTCCTACATCGAAAAAGACAATGAATTTTTTTTCGATAGTTGGATTTTTTGCATTTTTCTTGACAAAAAACCTAAAAACATGTCCTACGAGCCTTTTACATAAAGAAGAATAATTTTTTTAAAAACTAACGATATAACTAGCTTACTTGAGGGTCGATGGGGTACCCAATATCACGATATACTCACATTAAGCATTCACACTAATAAATACATTCACTCTCAGCACACTAGGGGCACAGGCATATCAGAACTATACACAGTAAAATAACCCTGTTCCCTCCAAGAATCTAAATAGGGGACCCCAGCGCAAGTATAATTCTCTATATCGGGTAGCATTTCTACTTGCTCTCTATATGGAGCCAAGGTATCGCACCCTTCTACTGGGTGGGACACATCGAGCAACCTTTCTCTACGAGTCGGGCACATATGCAGGCTTTAAGTAAGTGTCTAATGTCAACCTTGCATGGCCTATTCTTAATCAGATGAGAATGAGTCTTCTTAGTCAGGTCCACAGAGAGTGCTCTTGATACGAGATTACAAATAATTATATTTTGTTTGTTTGACAAAACTATTTGTTTTTATTTTGTTAAATATGTTTGTTAATTATGTTTATTTATATGTGTTCATGTTTGTATCTTGCTCTTGGCAAAATAAGTATTTTGTTAAAGAGCTGAGAATAAAATCAATTTTAATGATAAATCGATAACATTATGCCACATTTTTATTTTAGTTCAACAAAAATTTAGTAATTGCACACGAGTAAATATTTAAATACCAGTAAGATGAATGCGATTAAGAGTAAGATCACTTTAAACCATTGCATTTTATATTTAATATATTTTCTGAGTTTTCATAGGGAAACTTTATTAACAAATTCAATTATATTTTTATAAAACTGTGATTCTTGATTGCTTTATTTTTTTACTTCTTGGAAAATATATAAAGACAAATTTTCATACAAATATATTATATACAATTGTTTTTTAAACAGAAAAATACATAGATCTTTTTATTTAATCAAAATGATAAGGCAGTAATGAAAAGATGCTAAGATGATTCAGAAATGGGACAGTTCTTTGAGCCTGACTGAGACAAATGATGAATGATATCGACCCAATCCCATCCTCTCGCCCTTTCGCCTTTACAGTCCAGCCTGTCCCATTGTTTCCTTTTCTGCGCTTTTGTCAGTTGTTCCTTTTTCTTTTTCCTCGAAGATGTGACGTCTTCATGCTCGCTCTGAGAATTTTCAACCGTTAAGGAATGAATAAAACAAAAATTGATGTTTAAAATTAAACGCTTACATCTTCGCCCTCCGAACACGGTTCGTTGTGATTAACGACGTCGCCGATCCCGCTGATGTCTTCATCTCCTATAAGCTCTTCGAATTTATCCTTCAGACATTCAAAAAGCGAATATGTCATCGGAGAACCTATTAACTGTTCGGCCTCATCTAATACAAATTTAGCTATCCTTGCTTTCACTTCATCTTTGCTTAAATGAACAAAAAAAAAATATAAATTACTAATATTCTTGTGATAATTACACTATAGTACGGTGGAGTCCTGCTAATCCAAATGTCTTCCTAATTTAAATACATTTCAAAATATACATTTGTTTTTGTATTTGCTAAATAAATTTAAATGGTATTATGTCAGTTATTGACCCACAGCATGGAAGAAGTGAAAGTGGTCTGTCTATACCAAACGAAGGCAGGGCAACAGACGCCTGGTTCATACAGACCGATCAGTCTCTCATTGTTTATACAGAAGACAATAGAGAAATAGATGTATAATCACATTAGGAGCACAGCATTGAAGACTAATCGGGTGCTAAACAATAAAATATCAGGCAGGGAAGTCTATGGATGATTTAAACAGGCTACTTGCTATCGAAGGCATTCGCTGCAAAATTATTGTGATGCCGTGACATTTCAACCTGCACATTATCGGCGAATCAATGCACACTAGGTTCCCATCCTATCCTATCCTTTCCCAATTTCTCGTTTGCCACCAACCAAGATGGATTGTTTTTAACAAGATATGAGATAGGACGCTGTGGCAGATGTGCACTGTCAAACTGACAATTGAGTACTGCTAGGTATCGAAGTGTTAAGATGTGACACGCATCCCATAGGTATCTGAGTCACCCTTGATAACTATTGGGAGTCATGTCGGCGTCTTTTATAAACCTCTCGAATAGTTTATTTACTTTTCTTTCTATACAATTGAAAAGAACGTTGCGATAACTTTTGCAGCAAGTGTGCATCAGGTGCAAGGCATCAAATATGGTATTATATGGAAATAGTCCTGGAATTTTTCATGGATGTGGACAATGTCACGACTAAGTCCATGACCTATGTGCTAATCTTATCACGATCCAGGTGTGCCAAGCAAAGAAACAGATTTTTTATTGAAAAGATATTCCAGTATTTCAGCTCTGGATGTCATGCCTTCCTAAGTAAGATACCTCCTTATAGATAACTCCAAAAAAGTGATACGAATCTTCCCGGGCATTATTTTTACAGAGTGGACAGATTTCATTTTTTCTCCTCTTAATTTGAAAAGCCAACAAGAATCCCTAAGGTTAAGATACTGGAATAAGTGCTCATTGAAAATTGTCTTATACAAGTAAAACCTCTGTACTTTTCACCCTATTCAGTTTCCTCACGATGAACTTCGTTTATTTTATTGGGATGATCTAAAAGAAATGTACAGCAATAATTTTAGGCAGTTCATCATCTGGGAGGCTCAGAGCACAATAATCTACTCAGGTCGAGGTGCAGAAGGCCTTATAGCCACCTCTTTTACCCCTATCGCTGATAGGCTCAACATTTCAGATGTCTATCTATTTATGTTTAGGGGTGTGATTGACCATATTATCTCAATTAATCTTCTTTTATGTAAGTTCTTGGTTGAAATGAAAAAGTTAGTGTCATGAGCGGGATTCAAACCCACGATCTTCGGCTCAATACTCTGCTGCTCTAACCACTTGAACTATCGTGAATTCTTTCTTTTCTCATGTGAACTTCACGTGATTTGAATCCCGCTCGTGAAGTTAACTTTTTGACTCAACCAAGACCTTACATAAAAAGAATAATTAATTTTATATAATATTTAGATAAATTTAGGTGGAAGGAAAAGGCAAAGAAAATAGAGGAGGCAAACAGAATCCTAGGGGGTGTCGGTGACTGCAACAGTTTAGGCAGACACGGCATTCATCAATGTAAGGTAAACGTCCAGGTGAACCCGATATACTTACAAATGGGCTTTTTTGAAAAACACTGCCCCCCCCCACAGGGTTTGTGATACACTGTCGTTGAAATTCTCCATGGGGGGGGGGGTTACAGGATTCTAGGGTTTGCTTGTAATTTAGGGAAAAAGGTGGTAAACAGAAGTTTCTTCACAAAAAATGTTTGAAATGTTTTCATAAGATCATAGGCCTAAAAGCTCCAGACTTGAGCGCTATAGCATATAACAGAGCACAGGACCTATAAAACTTTATTTTATAAGGTACAAGATTATTGAAAAAGAGATTACCCAGGTGCAATTTAAACCTGTACCAATGCTTGCTACTGTATTATTGAAGTTATTTGGCCAATCTTACATCTTGGAACAAATTAATTCTGACAAGCAGACCGCCACTTTACTTTTTGTCTTGAACAAGTTTCATTGCTCAAGTTGCATCAACCAATTATTTAAACAAATCATTAATAAATAACAATATAAAATAAAACAATTACATATGCCTATTGTAAAAAATGTCCATGTTTAATGTCGGTTTCTCATCTGGGTACTGTTCGCCCCAGGTCAGCTCGAGAAGGAATGATTTCGCTTGGCCTTCTTCTCCGTACTGGAAGATACAAATTACATAAAATCCGCGATTTAATCTTTATTTAAGAATATGTATATTTACTTTATACTGAAATGTAACAGGGGAGACCTGGTTAAATGCCGGATCCCCATCGTAGATGGAGAGGACGACTTCTCTTTCTTCTTCTTGAAATTCCATATAAAAGAGCGTTTCCACGGAAAATATTTACGATACCATAAAAAGACGGCTCTTCATGTTAAATGTGGCTGTTGTGATAAGTCCAATTATTTACAAATTTCAGATTTTAAATTTGTGATACAAACTTCACTGTTCTCATGGAGGAGGTAACTTCTAACTGCACCGGTTGCACATTCCAGGCTACCGTGCAGGTCCTACACTATTAACAAAGAAAAAAATTTCTACTCAGATCTACTTCGACCTAAAGAAATAATTTCATTAGAATATAAAAACCATTAACGAAAAAACAAGGCATGACATGATTTGATTTAAATTAAAATAAAATACATTGTTAAATAAACACATTGCAGTTCATGATTTCAATGTTTCAAATGAATTACTATTTTTATATATGTACACTATTTTATGCAAGGATCTTCATTTCAATTTATTCCTAGATAGTTTACAAAATTGAAAGCCTTTAGTTTATAATTTTATGCCTGAATATGTGGAAACTATCACAAAAACTTAGGTATGAATTAGCCGAAAGTATAAACTGAAAACTTAGGTAAGCATTAACATAAGGTATAAACAAATTAGTATGAATTAACTTAAGGTATAAACAAAAAACTTAATTATGAACTTAAAAAAGTATGCAATATTTAAGGTATAAATTAAAAACTTAGGTAAGCATTAACATAAGGTTTAAATCAACAATTTAGTATGAATTAACTTAAGGTATAAACAAAAAACTTAATTATGAACTTAAAAAAGTATGCAATATTTAAGGTATAAACTAAAAACTTAGGTATGCATTAAAATAAGGTTTACACCAAAAACATAGTATGAATTAACTTAAGGTACAAAGCAAAAACTTAGCTCTGAACATAAAAAACAGTATGGATTAATTCGAGGCATTAACTAAAAATTTAGGTATGCATACATTAATTTAAGGTATAAACTAAAAAGCTTAAGTATTAACCAATTTAACATAAAACTTAAAAAAAAACATGTTTGATCTAATTTCAGCTAAAACAAAAAACCTAATCTAATGTACAACTAACTTAGTCTGAGAAAAAAAGCATACTGAAACACTGAATGACATGATTTGATTTAAATTAAAATAAACTTCATTGTTAATTTAAAACAATGTAATTCATGATTCTGTTTAAAATGTATATTACTATGTTTATTTAAGTATATTATTTCATTATATATTCAAGAACCTCCATTTCAATTATATTCCTAGATAGTTTACAAGAGTGGAAAGTTTTTGATTTACAGGTTTATACCTGGAAATGTGGAACTATCACAAAAACTTAGGTTGAATTATCTTAAGGTATTAACTACAAACTTAGGTATGCATTAACATAAGGTTTGAACCAAAAACTTAGTATGAAATAACCTAAGGGATAGCTCAAGTGGTAGAGCAGCAGCGTATTTAGCTGAAGGTCGTGGGTTCGAATCCCGCTTGTGACACTGACTTTTTTTATCTCAACCAAAACCTTCATTAATTGAAAAGAATTGGTCAAGCGGACCATGAAACCTAATAAAATGTACTAGGGGATAAACTCAAAACTTTGGTATAAACTTAAAATCCTAGTTTAAACTAGCTTAGCACAAACTTAACGTATAAATGAAAAAAATAGTATAGACTAATTAAAGTTACAAACTAAAAACTTAGTTATGAACTTAAAAACAGTATGTACTATTCTAAGGTAAAATTAAAAATTAGTTATGATCTTAAAAACTTAGTATGAACTAATTTAATGTATAAACTATAACCTTAGGTATGCATGCATTAACGTAAGATATAAATTAAAAATTTAGGCATGTATAAACTAAATTAAGATATAAACTAAAAAAAAACAACAACTCACGTATGAACCAATTTAACAAAACACTTATGTTTGGTCTAATTTCAGCTAAAAAAAAAAAAAGTAAACTAAAAACTTATATATGTACTAAAAATATAGGTATGAAATAATTTAAGGTATAAACTAAAAATTTAGGTGTGAATGAACTTATGGTATTGTAAGCGAGTGCTGACACGATTTGTTTATCGCTAAGTAATAAGAGAAATGGAACAAATGCACTTAACTACTTTTTGTGTAGGTGAACATAGAGTTCTAGAAATACAGTAAACCAGAAATGTATTAATTAACATTTATTGTAAAACTTGTCCCCCAAACTCTTACTGTAATGGAAAAGACACCTGAGCCTCACGTCTCTCCCTTGTGGTAGAAGTTAGCACTTGAATTTAAGTTATCTGTATATAGTACAATTAAAAAGTTTTGAGAGAGTGCAAAGGGACGTATAGCTATAGAGAGGAGAAAAGGTCTATCACTGAAATTGTTTAATAATTTAAGTACAAAAACAATATCAAAGTAATCCCTTCTTAGTGCCAGTTCGAAAAGTTGAAATTGAGAGCAGATTCCAGGGTAGGCGGAGTTCGGAAGAATACATACACTACCTACTATCCTCTTACCACTATCTTGGCTAATTGTGCAGTTGTAGATAGTCTGAAATCAAACTGCTCTGGCATAATGTTTTACATATGGCTATTTATAGAAATTATGAATGATGGAGTGGGTGTGGAGTTCAATCCTTTTTAAAAAGATGGTTCCTACTCACAGTAAGTTGTTTTGCAACAATCCGGATTTCGAGCCCTTTAGCTCATCATCAAGGTTTCCTTCCTGAATCCTGAAACCCTTCAATCTGATGATGAGCTAAAGGGCTCGAAATCCATCTTTTTAAAAAGGATTATGGCTATTTATTGTTATGCACTACAGATACCATACTAAATATGTTGTTATTATCATTGGGAAATTTCATAATTTGATCAGAGTTTTTTTTATCTTAGTGTATATGTATGTAAATAATGTTTGAATTGAATAAATTAATTTATTGTTTGAATGAATGGATCCTAAAAGGGTTATTTTTAATTTATCTGTAGTGCGCCCCTCCCATCAGGGTCGGGGGTTTTGAGTTTATAAACATAGCTAGATTGGGCAAAAATTTGTTTCAATTTGAAAAATTCAAAATTTTGACTAAAGCTCCCATGCAGGACTTTTGTCAGGAAGTCGAGAAACATCGGTTAAAGTTGATTTCTGTTATTTGTTGACACTTTAATCTCCCCCTGCTGATAGTGTGAAGTCTATAAGTCTGTTATCAGCGATAACAAGAAACAGGAGTAAAGAATTTATCGATGGACTAAAAGCGGTGGGCTTTTGACTTTTTTTGCCGAGTCGGGACGTCGAATAAAGTCGAAACGATGCTGATCATTTGAAAGGAAAATGACTACCAACGGGGAAGTGGATACCGGGCTTTTGGTGCCGGATCTGCTGGACCTCGATTTGTCCGAGGTGAGACGGTTTCCTCTTAGCCCGTGATTTATCTTTGACCGGATTTTAATTTACAGGCTGAAGACAAGGAATTCAACGTACCGTCTGCTGCGAAAACAAAGCGGAAATTAGCCGGGAACCTTTTGAACGACGATGAGTCTTCTCTGATCAGCGAAGAAGACCTTCCGAACTACTTGCCGCCTGATGTAAGTTACATTGATGCTTTTCCTGTAAAAATATTCACTCGTGTGTTTACAGCTCGTGCCTACAAGCTACGATGACAAGGGCGACTGCAGCTCAGTTAGCAGCGTTGGCAGCAAAAGCGGCCAACATACAAGCAGTGCGCAACAGAAGAAGGTCATCCAGGCTGCAAGCATACTCCGTCATGTCATTCTCAGGGCTGTCTCATCCCAGCTGCATCCGAACATTGTACAGTATTCACTTCATTCCAATTACAATAAACATTTGTATATACGTATGTTGTTATTTATCTTAAGGAGTATTATGATGACTGTAGAACATGCTTTGATAGAAAGTGTTCTTTGGAATGATGCCGAACCATATTCAATATCTAATTGTGAGGGTTTGTTTTGGTCATAAAACATACTACACATTTTGTGTTATAGTAGTTGTTTTTATTGAATTTGTAAAAAGCACAAATACCTGAAGTTTGGTCATTTTGGTTATCAGAAGTTACTAGCAAAAAATGCGATCATGATGACCAATGCCCAGTAACGGATTGGGTACAGAAAAAAGAAGACCAGCAAGAAAAGGCAGACCAAAATGATCAGAAATGACCAAATTACGGGTTCATTAGACTCCATGAAGAAATATCACACAATGACAGTTCCTTATTGTCTTTGGTTATTTTATTGAACTTGTAAAAAGTAGAAGAGCCTGAAGTTGGGTCATTTTGGCCATTAAAGGCTACTAGAAATAAAAGGCAGACGAAAATGACCAGAAATGACCAAATTACATGTTCATCAGACCCCATGAAGAAATATCACAAAATGTCCAGCTCCTCGTTGTCCTAGGTTGTTTTATTGAATCTTTAAAAATTAGATGTGCCAGAAGTTTGGTCATTTTGGTTATTGAAGGCAAACAGTTCAATTGTTTAACTCACAAAAACAAATGAAAATTTCATAAATGTTCAAGTGAAGTTTAAAAAAAAACACTTTTCAGAATGAATCCACTTGATTAAAATTATATTTTTTCTAGTTGTTGTGTAGTAATTAAAATTTGAAATCTGATGAATATGCTTGTAAAAACATTGATTTTTTAAAATTTTATTTTTAGTTTTAGCAGTTCTGTTAATGTGTTCATTTAATCTCACTAATTGGTCAGGGTTATAAGCAAGGTGAATCAGAGACAACACAAACTCAGTCAGTCCGTGTACTTTTACATATTGATTAAATAAAATAATCAGTATATTGTTATTGTGAGATTTCCTCCTGTGGATTGCAGGGTGATGAACCTGGAATTTGGTAGAAACTGATCCTTATGGTCTGTCTATCCCCACTGAATTGGTCTGATATGTTTTGGCTTTTTGCCATCTTTAATGTGTCTGGTTTAAAAAAAAAAAAAATATTTATTTTTTGTTTGCTGGCAGGTCATAGCTGGCACACAACATTTTTGCTTTCTGCAGTTTTAATATTTCTGCATTAGTCTATGTATTCAATGCTTATTTTATGGTTGCAATGACCTGGGACACACCTGCATCCTTCACATACCAACATTTGGTATTCACCAATAACTAGTTACAACATGCTAATAAATACACTCATTCATCTACTTACACGCTATACAATTAATAATAAATCAAGGGGTACTTGATATTCTGGCGATGACCACTCCTCTCATTTATATTATAAGACTATAATATAAATAATATATAATAAAACCCCTTGCATCCACATCAATCACGCTAATAAATACTCTCATTTGTTGGCACACATGCTATACTATGTACAAATGTGAGATAAATAGGGGGGACACCAAGGTACTTAATATTCTGCTGTTGACCACTCCTCTCATCTATTCCAAAAACGACTAAACCTAGATGATATGACAGACCGTCAAAGTACTTGGATATACTTCAAACGGCCTTTTCTCATTCATACCCATTAATCCAGCATTCTCGCTAATAAATACATTCATTCATATTGCAAAGGGGCAGATTGTAGTAAGTCATACGCTTTCACTACTTGTAATACTCCAATAAATTCTGCTGTTAGTCACTGTTATGCGCCCAGGCTTTTAACCCCTCGGGTCCTCGTCGCCCGCCCTGCGTAATATATATAACTGTTATGCGATGTTCTTTTCATCTGGGGGTAGGCTAGACATCAATTTATAATATTTTATTTTCTCACATTCCACCAGTATGTGACGTACTGTCATTGGCTTATCACCCTGTGGACATTGTCTCTGTTAACCGTCCTCCAGAAGGTAGCCATGGGTGATACTCATGTGGTGACCTTATCCTGTATGTGTTGCTGCCATTTAAAATTAGTCACACATGAGACGGCTGAAGATGGTGAAATGCCGAAACGTCCATAATAGATCAATCCAGCTAGGATAGGTAGACCAAAATGATCAGTAACCAAATTACAGTGTTATCATGTTGGGGTTTACTTTCTGAATGAATTGGCCCAGAACAGTGAGGATAGGCAGGAAAAAAAATTGAAACAACAAAATTAAAGGTTGATCACCCACCCTCACAGACCTCATCAGAAGACCTAAAAATAAATTCCTTGGGTTTCTTTTCAGGAACTAGACAACCATCGAACTCATTTTTTTTATTGATAACGATTTTGGGGGCATCAATAAAAAGAATATGTGTTTGTTGGTTTAGTTCCTGAAAAGAGATGCAAGAAATATAAAAATCAACAACCGAATAAAAGAGTAAAAAATAAAAAAATAAATTGATTATATTTTTTAATTAAGGAGACTGTGTTGGCCATTTTGATTGTTTGTAGTATGAAAAATGTATTGTAAAGAGGTTTGACTTGTCTGTTACACCCAATGGGTAGTTTGATATTAACTCCATTAGGATTATTTTCTTTATTACTATTTTTTTCACATTTTGGAATGTGTTCTTTAAAATCTATTCCATTAATTTAGTAAATTTGTTACAAAATAATTTATTGTTAGAGCTACTCTTCTTGAACAGTCTTTCTATAATTGTTGATTTATATCCACCAGATCAAAAATCAAGGTACAGGTTAATTCGTACTTGTATTTGTTTGTAATTCATTTAAGCAGCGCAGGCGAACCAGACGAGGATAAGAGCCAGGCAGAAGGCGACCTTTAGGTCTTTCGTTCATATTTTAATATATCAAATTTTAGAGGGGTGTAAGTATATGAGCAGCTAAACCCCTTTCACCCAGGGTTTTAGAAAATAAAGAAACCAGCCATGCCTGTCTTCCCGAGCCAGCAGGCGTTTTCTCGCGTTGTAAAACAATTTTGAAAACTTGTGATTTCCTCCTTTAGTCTGCATCTAACTGTAATTAAATCCTAATGGAACATCCTAGTCTGCTTACCCTCATTTGACTGGCACAGACACACTGAAGATGTCAAAATGTGACAGACCAACCCTTTGAAGACAGGCAGACTAAGATTGGTTAGGATCGAAAACTGTCAGATTTTTAAGATTTTCTAGGCAAACAGATTAACTAGGAATTTTTCAACTGAGTTTTTGATTGACATTGTATTCACTATTTTTAGGATGAACTTATCATCGGCACCCCTTCAGCTATGTGCGTCAGTAACCTCATAGCAGTGGGTACAACTCATGGGGTCATTATGTGCTTTGACTGCAGCCAAAGGCTCAGATGGCGACATGAGGCAGTTCGCGACCAGGGCCCTGTGACAGCGATGGCCCTCAACACGGAATCAACCCGTCTACTTGTTGGTTTTGCACGCGGAATGGTCCTCATGCTCGATGTGCAAGACGCTAAAGTATTACGTACAATTCCTCCCGAAGCTCATACTTACAATACAGCTGTCGTACATATCAAAGTAAGGATCCGATTAAAATTATTAAACTGCTTTATACTTAATTTCTGTTTAGTTTACAGATAGTCCATCTTTAGCATTACTGTCTGACAGTGGAGGATCTGTATTTGAAATCGGCCTTAAAAGAGTACTGGGCGTAAGATCATGGGAATGCAAGTGTATATTTTCTGGTAGCAGGGGCGAAGTTGTAGCTATGGAACCTCTTTTACTACAGAATCTAGCTTACCAGCATCCACTTTCCGGCTTTGTTATTGTTGCCATGGCCACTCTTTCAAAAGTAATGCAATTTTATTTATTTTTGTTAAAAAGGAAAATTTACTTTTGTTCTTTGGTGGTTTTTAGATTCTATTGGTCAGTTTACGGCCTCAAACAAGACTGTTGTACACTCAAAATATTAAAGGTGCTAGCACATCTCTTCCCCTTTTGTCATGGCAGTTTGTCGTAATTCAGGTTGCCGATACTTCTAGAGTAATGGATCCCGTTCTAGCGGTGGCCAGAAATGACACAATTTATTTTTACCAGGTACACAATAATATTTGAATTTTTTTTTTACCAACGGTTAACATAACTTTTATTAGGTGAGCTTGGAGAGAAGCGGAAAAATCGTTTGCCAAGGCTTACAATCAGTCAGCCTGCCTTATTCTCTTATTTCCTGCCACTGGCTCACGCCACGGACTGTGGCTTTGATCGACACCAACGAGACCCTCCACCTGTTTGATGTCAGGACAAAGCAGGAACTTGAAAATTTAGACTTGTCCATTGTTGAATTAGTGTACAATTCTGTTGCATTCAAAGGCTTAGCGACTGGTGGAAATGTCAGCAAAGCCATGGTATAAAAGAGGTTATTATTTTGCAAGTTTGAAAGGTAATTATTATAAAGTTTCTTTTTTTAGGCTCTTGCTGGGCAGAGAGCGGTGTACAATTCAATTTTCAGTTTTGGAAACCAACTCTTACTTCTTGGTGTTAAAACCCTTCATGTTATATCAATTCGTATTTGGGTTGAAAGGATTGACGGTCTTGTGAGAGCTGTATGTACTTCAAAAATTTGTTTTCTGCATTTACTTTATATTTGTCACAAAAACGATCGCTTTCAGCAAAAATTTGAAGACGCCCTTAAACTCGCTATGGATTTTTATGAAGAAAGAGGGAAAGCCGTCCTCGGTTTAAGAGGGGCGAGAGAAGTCAGACAAAAACTCGTCAAAGAAAAGGTAGCCGTAAAAAACTCACATGTAATAAAAATGGTGCTTAAAAAAATTGGTTTTACAGGTTATAGAGACTTTAGAAAAATTTGTTGACCATATTGTAGACGGTTCCCCTTTTATCAATTATTCCGAAGCAATTCCAACAGTTATTGAACATTGCATCGATCTTGATAGAATGTAAGTCATGCCACAAAAATATACAACAAAAACAAAAATTATATATATTATCATATCTAGGGATTTGGTATATGACAAACTTTGGAATGGCATGACTGATGGAAAAAATATTTACTTAGAAGCCATAGAATCGTCTTTAATCGACGGGAAAATAACTGACATCCCTCCAGAAATCTTGCAGAGGCTCGTGTCGTACCAGCAGAGCATGTTACGTTGGGAGGTAACCGTTTTGAAATATTTTCACTTTCTGATGTTTTAAAACCGTAACGGATTTTTCAGCAACTTGAGAGTTGCATCCAGAGAGTGGATGTCCCTTGCTTAGACATAGAACAAGTTATTCTTATATGTAAACGAGAGAATCTTTACAGCGCCCTGATTTCAGTATGGAATAGGGCTATGAACGACTATACTAGTCCAATCCACGAACTAGTCCCAAAATTAAGATTAATGGCGTCAGGTAATTAATGATCTACTTACCCTCATATATTGTACTATTTAATGTCTTTTTAGAAGAACCTAACGTTGTCAAAGAAAGAAGAAAACTCGGAAACTTGCTTCTCGTTTATATTGCTAGTTGCTTGAGCGGAGCTGTTGGTCCTGATAGAGCTGAACACGCTCGGCAACAAGTTGTTAGAGCTCTTTGTAGTCAACATAGCCAAAATGCCGATGATTGCGAGACATGTTTTCCTTATATAAGGTAGAATAATATTGAATCTGTTTTATCTGTTACTATTGAATTGATAGTTTTAAAAATATATTTATTTCAGGGGTCTTTTGGAGTTCGATACAAGAGAATTTTTAAATTCTCTAGTTATTTCTTTCTCTGATGCTTCACTTTCTACACAGATAAAGCAAAGGCTTGTAGATATAATAATCCAAGTTATGAGTGACAGCCCATCGTTTAAGGTGAAGGTCTAGGATTCGAGAGATAAGTTGGTAATTTTAAATTCGGTTTATTCTAGTGTGTCGAGATAAGTTGGGTCCTGTGCGTGCTAAACAATTCAGCAGTTGGACGAGGCCTCAGAGTGGACAGCAGTTTGTACACTGATACAATTTCAAGCCTTGTGACTGACAACAGCTGCCCGAGTGCAGACCGTCAGCAGGCTTTCCTCCAACTAGTCACTTCTGGAGCTCTGGCCGACCTCGATCATGAAACATTGTTGGAACTGGCGAAATCCGCTGATTTGTAAGTTTTCAATCAAAATAGTAAAAAACCACATTTTTTAAAATTTCATTAGGGTTGAGACAAATTGGAAAGAAAACACTCATCAGGACTTTGAAACTTTAATTAATAATTTAAAGGGTTAAGACATATGAACAAGTATTCATAATTATGAAAACTACAGTTTCAAGTATTTTTTTCTCCCACTGGTTATCCTGGAGGGAGGCATTTATTTGTTGCCCATTCCCTAGATAAGACTATGGGCAGTTTCAAGTATAATGACATATAAATTTGAGTTTATATATAGCCTTTTCCATGAAATTAGCCTTTTTAATTTCAAATGAACTATTTTTAATTTTATATTAACTATTTTTATTTTCAAATTAACCATTTTTAACTTCAAATTAACCCTTTTTAATTTCATATAAACCATTTTTAATTTCAAATTAACCTTTTTTAATTTATATACCACTTGGTAATTTCATATTAACCATTTTTATTTTCAAATTAATCATTTTTAACTTCAAATTAACCCTTTCTAATTTCAAATCAACCTTTTTTAATTTATATACCACTTAGTAATTTCGTATTAACCATTTTTATTTTCAAATTAGCCATTTTTATCTTCAAATTAACCCTTTTTAATTTCATATAAACCATTTTTAATTTCAAATTAACCTTTTTTAATTTATATACCACTTAGTAATTTCGTATTAACCATTTTTATTTTCAAATTAACTATTTTTAACTTCAAATTAACCATTTTTAATTTTGTATAAACCATTTTTAATTTCAAATTAACCATTTTTAATTTATATACCACTTAGTAATTTCATATTAACCATTTTTATTTTCAAATTAACCATGTTTAACTCCAAATTATTTAATTTGTTATAAACTATTTTTAATTTCAAATTATCTTTTTTAATTTAATATACGAATTTGTAAGTTTATATTAACCATTTTTATTTTCATATTATCCTTTTTTAATTTCAAATGAACCCTTTTTACCTTCAAACGAACCCATTTTAGTTTCAAATAAACCCTTTTTTAAATTTCAAATTGTCTTTTTTTTAAATTTCAAATTAACCATTTTTAACTTCAAATTAACACTTTTTAATTTCATATAAACCATTTTTAATTTCAAATAAACCTTTTAATTTATATACCACTTAGTAATTTCATATTAACCACTTTTAATTTCAAATTAACCTTTTTTAATTTATATACCACTTAGTAATTTCATATTAACCATTTTTAATTTCAAATTAACCTTTTTTAATTTATATACCACTTAGAATTTCATATTAACCAGTTTTATTTTCAAATTAACCATTTTTAACTTCAAATTAGTTAATTTCTTATAAACCATTTTTAATTTTAAATTATCTTTTTTAATTTTATATACCAATTTGTAATTTTATATTAACCATTTTTATTTTCATATTATCCTTTTTTAATTTCAAATGAACCCTTTTTAACTTCAAATTAACCCTTTTTAGTTTCAAATAAATCCTTTTTTTAATTTCAAATTGTCTTTTTTTAATTTCAAATTAACCTTTTTTAACTTCAAATTTAATTTTTTATATGATTTTTAAGTACAATTATTTCATATTTAAAAAAATCTCTAATTAATAATAAAAGCAGCCATCATTTTTACATTTAATTATGTGTAATTTTTAATTGTGTGAATGACAACAGTTTCACACAAAACCTATATGACACAACAAGAATAGCACCACACTTTAAGCCTTGAGTATGATCTGAATAAAGGTTGAAATGTCGTTTTTCTAAACTGTCTCATTCTTGACTACTCCTCATGACTTCAACAAATAATTTTTAATTTTAGTTGTAATTAATAATAATAATAATAATAAAGGTCTTATTTCTTATTATTTTATACTTACGCAACAATTGCAAATATACACACATTTTACTGTACAAGCTTATACTTCATACCATCTCCACAATTTTTTTATCTTAAAGAAAGGATTAATTTGAAGTAAAAAAGGATTAATTTTAAATTAAAAAGGGTTAATTTGAGATAAAAAAGGTATAATTCATAGATAAAAAGGGTTAACCTGGAGATAAAACGAGATATTTTGAATTAAAAAGGGTTAATTTGAAGTTAAAAAGGGTTAGTTTGGAAATAAAAAAAGGATAATTTGAAATTAAAATGGTTAATATGAAATTAAAAAGGGTTAATTTGAAGTTAAAAAAGGAATAATTTATGTTAAAAAAAAGATTAATTTGAAATTAAAAAGGGTTGATTTGTTGTTTAAGTTTTCAAAAGTTTAATTTGAAGTTAAAAGGTGTTAATTTGTCAGTAAAAAAAAACTAGCACCAGAGCAAATATGCTGGTGAGTTATATAGGAAAAATCAATTTTCTTCCTGATTGGACTCATCTCTGTTTTTTAATGTACAGTTAATTAGGTACTATTTTAAAGTCTCATCATTAATTATAGTTGGATTATAAATTTTAATTTTATTTTCATTTTTTGTACGCCCGTTAGCCATCAGGTGTGTGCCATTCTTCACGAAATTCGAGGGGAGTACTCTCAGGTTTTGAAGTACCACTTGGAAGACCCGACGAGGCGTGAACACGTGTTTTTGTTTATTGAACAGTCTGAGCACAGGCTGTCGATGGGAATCACTGAAGAAGACACTCTGAAGGTATATTTTATCGCAATGTTGAATTCAAAAATAAGTCCGTAGCATTTTTGAATTATTCAATTTGATCCACTTTTATGTTTTGAAGCAATGTTTATTTAGTTTGTCATTAAGTTTACAAACTCTGAAAAGAGTCAGTTTCGTTCAAGATATTGCATGTTTATACGGTGTTATGGAAAAAATAATGCACTTTTTCATTTTGTTATTTTTATTTAATACTGCAAAGGTAAAACCACTGCTCTGACTGCTTGGAAGATTTGTTGTGTGTACGGTGATAACACTTTAGGAGGAAGTGGGAGAATAATTATATTTTTATACTCCAAATCTGGGCGCTACAAGAGAATAAGTGCCGGTTGTTGAACAAAGGGTTTAAACTTGATGAAGAATAATCAATTTCTCTACTAATTTATTATATTAACAAAAAATGTAAATGAACAAAGGAGCAAAAATATATAATTTAAAAAAAGTAAATTAAAAACAAAATTGAGTTCTAGCCAGATTTTAATACTAAAACATCTATTTAAAAGAATATACACTCCACAAAAATGTGGCTCATTTTGAAATTTTGATATTTTTTATGCACTTGTTTTTTAAGTACTATTATCGTGTGTGTGGTATTTAGTAGATTATTTGGAGATCGTGAGATGTGGTCTGGTGTGGCGTAGGTTTAGAAAAACATTTTCTTTATCATGCCTGGACATCTTTTGAGATGCAACAAAAATTGCTGTAGCTTAGCTGGAAAGCTACCCCAGGCATGCACATTTGCCTGATTTTGCCCCTTTAGAGCTAACAGTAAAAAACGGCTGGCATTGGCTAATCACAAGGTGATTTTCCACCCCATCTTTGCAGACTCGCAGAAATTACTGGAGCTTGGCTTGCATCTGCTACTCTATCCACCCCATCCGCTTGACATCGCCCCTTTAGGTCTCTTATTCTAAGCTTAGCGAAATTTTATTAATGGGAAAAACTACTATGCTTGAAGATGGCACAAAATACATCGAGTTCATTACTTAAAAACATGAGAAGTTCTAGGAGGACGTAATTTCAAAATTATGTACAGAGAGTGGAACAAAATGGTTCATTATATTGTTGGTTAATTTTGTTTATAAGCGCCTTAAATTTTCAGTGAATTTATTATTAAAAAATGCTGCAGTCTTCTTTTCCGACCTGATACTTGGTGGCTAAATTCATCCATGTTTTTTTTTACAACTAGGAACTTTTACAAATTGATGCTAAACAAACAGGGCAACTTCTTGTTAGATACATTCCTCAAGCTATACCAAACATTCTACCTCAGCTGTCCAATGAACAATTATTCTACTTTCTTCAAGGAATGCTGTAAGTTTTAATTCAACCAAATTATATAAATATTTTTAAGTTTTTTATTTTATTTCAGAGAAGAAAGTGATCTGGATACAGAACTAATGACTAATTACGTGTGTTTAATGTGTACATTCGAACCTGACAAAGTTTATCAGACTGTTAAAGCGAAAACAAACATCGAGCTCGATCCAGCCATAAAGGTGCTAAATTTTCATTAAAAACTATTAAAGCGGCAATTTCAATATATCCGATTATTTGTCATGGACAGGTAGCCCATGAAAAAGGACTCGACGAGGTGACTGCAATCCTATTGGAAAGAAGCGGTGATCTTCAAGCAGCATTCAACGTACTGCTGGCAAGATTGGAAAGAGCGATAGAAAACGTAATTTTTACTTTTTTTTACTGAATCATAAGACTCATTTTTATATTGAATTTCATAATTTATCGTTCGATTTAAGTTCAAATTTATCTTTAATCGCACAATTTTTTGAATAGGGCGAGGAAGATGCGGAGAGAATGACTGAAGAACTTGTAAGCCTGGCTCAAAGAGGAAATACTGTCCTGGACTCAAAAACTTCATGGCTGCCGCTACTAATGTGCCTTTTGAAACTCAATTCTCACGGTATTTTCATAAAAACAATATCACATTACATTTTAACTAGTGTGCTATTAGATTTTTTTCTTGTAAACAGAACTCCTGCAGCGAGTGCTGAACAACGCAGATCTCAACTTGGTCTCTGAGCTCCACCTGCTCATGCAACACACACAGGGTACTTTGGGGGAACTTAGAGGCTTGATTATGGGTAAATGTTTTGTAATTCATATTCTATAGGATTTTTTATTTTTTAATCGTTGGTCATCTGCTGCAGGCCTTTTTACAAAATGCCGCGATCAAAGGAGAATGCTTGAAGCGACTAAACGCCTCCATATGTCGGGCCTTCATGGCGAGCTTGTTGATGTTTTTACGGAGGCTAAAGTAGGTTGCAGATCGCCTAGTTGCTGCAACATTTGCAAGGATCCTTTCACGGATAAATTCTGTTTATTTAGGTAAGATTTAAATGATTAACGATATGTTACAAAACTATTTGGATTTTTTTTTTTTTGACAGATGTGGTCACGGATTTCATATTGAGTGTCTACCTCCATCTATTTCCAAGTGTACAGAGTGTTTCAAAGAATAGACTTTACCCATGAAGTCAGTTCATTCCAAATTACACCTAGCCTTTTTTGTAAATATTAGTTTATGTAACCCAAGTTCCATCTGACAGAAAATTAACTTTATACATAAGACTTCATAAAAGTTATTCAACTTGTTTAATGCTTTATTTATAAATTTTTACTTTTGAAAAAGCAATCTGTGGTATTCATTTATTTAAAACACTTATACTTTTAGGTAGTTACCCTTAAAAAAGTTATACTTGTCATCTAGAATTATTTCATTATAAAAATAATTGTGTATTACTCTATGAAAAAACTTTTCTTTAAACTGGCAGCAGGGGTTTGTTATAAAATAATGTTTATAGTTGATATACGCATATGTAAATAATGAATATTGTAATTTATTGTATTTGTAATTTGCATGCAAATATATGACATGCAGTTAATATTTATCATAATACTGAAAATTAAACAATTTTGTTCCTTGTATTTTGTTACAATATAAAGAAATTAATTTATATTTATCAAATAAACTGTTTTAAAAAAACAATTTTATTTTGTATTTTTCATTGTGTATTTGTTTCTGTTTACATCATCCTTCCTAGGACTCATTTTTAAAAGGTTAATGGTTTTTATTGAAAGGTTGATTATTTTTAGAACCCTTTGGATCCGAAGAAGAACTTTTTTGTCTTTTCAAAATGGCTTTTTCCGATCGACCTTTAGAAATTTCGGAAGTGGCAGCATTCAGTGCTGGTCGACTTTCGGCCATTTTAGAAGTGGTTGTCCCCAACTTTTGTCGGCTTCCGGTGTTCAATTTTGACTGACTTCTAGACTTTTGAGGGGTGCTAGTGTTCCATTTTGGTCGACTTCTAGACAATTCAGGATTGATATTGTCCAATTTGGGCTGACTTTCAGTAACTTCATAATTGATGGTTTCCATTGTTAATTGGCTTCCAGTAATTTCAGGAGTGACATTGTCCAATTTTGGAGGACTTTCAGCCATTTTAGGAGAGGAAGTTCTCAACTTTGGTCGGCTTCCAGTGTCCAATTTTGACCGACTTTTAGACATTCGAGGAGTGCTAGTGTTCTGTTTTGGTTGAGTCCTAGACAATTCCGAATTGATAGGGTCCCATTTTGGCTGACTTTCAGTAACTTCATAACTGATAGTTTCCAATCTCAATTTGCTTTCAGTAATTTCAGGAGTGACATTGCCCAATTTTGGAGGACTTTTATTCATTTTAGGAGAGGCAGCCCTCGACTTTGGTTGGCTTCCAGTGTCCAATTTTGACCGACTTTTAGACATCCAAGGAGTGCTTGTGTTCTTTTTCGCTCGACTTTTAGACAATTCAGGATTGATAGTGTCCAATTTGGGCTGACTTTCAGTAACTTCATAATTGATGGTTTCCATTGTCAATTGGCTTTCAGTAATTTCAGGAGTGACAATGTCCAATTTTGGAGGACTTTTAGTCATTTTAGGAGAGGCAGCCCTCGACTTTGGTTGGCTTCCAGTGTCCAATTTTGACCGACTTTTAGACATCCGAGGAGTGCTAGTGTTCTTTTTCGATCGACTTTTAGACAATTCAGGATTGATAGTGTACAATTTGGGCTGACTTTCGGTACCTTCATAATTGATGGTTTCCATTGACAATTGGCTTTCAGTAATTTCAGGAGTGACAATGCCCAATTTTGGAGGACTTTTATTCATTTTAGGAGAGGTAGCCCTCGATTTTTGTCGATTTCCAGTGTCCAATTTTGACCGACTTTTAGACATTCGAGGAGTGCTAGTATTCCTTTTTGGTTGAGTCCTAGACAATTCCGAATTGATAGGGTCCCATTTTGGCTGACTTTCTGTAATTTCAGGAATGATAGTTTTCAATTTTGGTTGATTCTCAAACATTTCATGAGGAATAGTGTAAAATTTTGGCCGATTTCCAGTCAATTCAGGTGTGACAATGTTCGATTTTGGTGGGCTTATAGGAACTTGAGGGGTGATAGTGTCCAGTTTTGGTTGACTTTCAATAACTTTAGAATTGATAGTGTCCATTTTCTTTTGATTTTCAGTTTCAGGATTGGTAGTTTCCAATTTTTGTTGACTTTCACTAATACCAGGATTGATAGTGTCCAATTTTGATTGACGTTCAGCAATTTCAGAATTGATAGTGTCCAATTGGGATTGACGTCTAGTAATTTCAGAATTGATAATTTCCAATTTGGATTGAAGCTCAGTAATTTCTGGATCGACAGTGTGCAATTTCTGTTGACTTTTAGCAATCTCAGGATTGTTAATGTCCAATTTCGATTGGACTTCGATAATTTCAGAATTGATGGCGTCCAATTTGGATTGACGTCTGGTAATTTCGGAATTTATAGTGTCCAGTTTTGATTGACTTTCAGCAATTTCAGAATTTATAGTGTCCAATTTGGTTTGAAAAGAGTTCCGTTGCATTGACGGCTGATGATCTTGTGGTCTTTCCGGTTGATGTACAGGCTCATTTGAAGTCAACAGAAGATTGAGCGATGGCCTTTGCAATTCAATTTCTTTCAAGATTTGACTAAATTTGGAAATATTTGAATTTCTGTTTTTTTCATAATCATCTATTTCTGAAACCGAACTAAATTTCAATAAAATGCAAGTAAAAATAAAAGAAACGAAAAAGAAATTCTATGGCAATTAACACATTTTAATTTTATGAATTTTTTTATTTAGCCAATTAATAAAGGGTGCTATGTGGTATGAAATATCAATAATCATAATTCATAGAAACTAAGTCTGTTTGGGTAACAATCATGATCTGGCTCTCTGATGCTAAAAATGTATTAAAAATATGTTTAAAGGAATGTGGCAGCGTCAGTGAGGCGGATTGGCAGAGAAGCACTCACATATCAAGAGCACTGTCGATATGTGGCCAACGGAAGATCTGACACATAGAAAGGCATCCTCACCTGATTAAGGATAGGCATATGAGGTTGACACAAGGACACCTACTTTTGCGCCAAAGGTGTATATGTCCAGTAAATAGAGAAAGATTGCTCGATATTTCCCTCCAAATTGAAGGGTGGAATTCTTTGACTCTTTATACAGTGTGTAGGAATGCCACCCGATATGGGAATTGAGCAAGGCTGGTATCTGGGTCCCCTGTTCTGATTTCTTTCAGGAAATAGGGCTTTTTTACTGCATGTAAAGTACATAACATTGAATGTATGTAACTTGAGTGAATAGCATGCAAATTGGAAAGAAGATATTTAAGAATGGGTGAGGGTGTGAATGGCAGACTGATAACGCTGGAAGTTAAAATGATCTAGCTGGTAACCTCTGGAGTCCATCATCACCGTCTGGATGGATAAGATAGAGGTCAAACCCTGGTTTTCAAGTCCTGCTGGTATTTTAATGTAAAACAAAAGCTGGATTTATTGGTGGGCTGCGAAATGCTTAAATCTGTACAAGTGTGTATGAATGTACATATGTAGATTTGAGCTTGTATAAATCTGTAATCAGTAAGTCTGTATATATCTAATTAGAGCACAGGTGGGGACTTCTTCCTCCCTGCCGTCTCTTTAGAGTGGTTCTTTTAACTCCAAGTAATGTTTTTCTACATAATTATTTTTATTATAGGCCATTTGAAGTGCCATATTGGGGGGGATGGAGGATAAAGGTGACAAAGCAAATATAAGAGTATAAGCAGTGGAGAATTAGTAATTGGCCATTATTGGAAGGATGTTTTCGCATTCTGTCTTTGATTTTTGCAATAAATATATGTTAGTTGGCTAAGTTTGTTTACTGTTTATACAGACAATCATCTAATAAAAAATATTTACCTTGAAATAGAGAACTCAAAGTGATTGGAACGTGAGGAGTTTCTGAGAGCGTAGCTTCCTGAATTTGTGGTTTCGCCTCTTTGGAAGTTCTTTTCTTGGGTGTATTCTGAGGATTTACTAAGTGCAAGTTAGTCTTGAATATTTCAAGGTCTTTGAATTTAATATGTTTTGTTGAATCAGAAATTCTTCTTTCTTCAATTTTATCATTCGGATCTGAAAATAAACCAAATGTTCAAGAAATGCAGGAAATCCTGGAAGCAGGAGGTGATTTAATTCAATCTTTCATTATAATTTGGGCAGTGCGATGCAATTTTTTTTTCAAAATACCGCACACTGGAGAATAAAAACTTTATTAGCATGAGAATTTATATTATAACTAAATTAAGTCGACAATGACTCAGTGGGCTAAGCTTGGATTTTTGGTCACAGGTTAGAACAGTTCAAAAACATAATTGTAAAATTCTATATTTCATAAAAAAAATACATTTGTCGGATATTACTAAAAGAGTGATACAATTTTTTATTTATATATTTTTGAAAAATATTGATATTCGGTGATAAAACGACAATGTTCCGCAATACATAAACATAACTAAACTACAATACAATGACAATTTATAATACATCATAGTACAACTGGGAGTAAAATTTAACTTTTGGTTATAAGTTATAAGGAAAAGGATGTTGATTTTTGGGTACAGCAACGTTTTAAATTTTTTCTCTCTACTGGGTGTAGATTTTTTTCAAAGAAGGTATCCTATCAGTTTTTATTTTTCAAATTTACATGAACATTTTCCATTTTGATATAAAATCTCATGTATTACACAATCTCTTTTTTCAGTCCAATCTTAGAACATGGATATCAATATCACAGAAGAGAGAAGCAAAACAAGAGTTTTGAAATAAGTTCATGTTTTTAACATGGTCCAAGAAATGTTAGACAAGCTCATCAACTTTCTCTGAATTAATTTTTTACAAATGTAAAGAAAAATTAACACATTTTTAAATAAAGAAGCAATTTTTCGGAGTCTAATGTCATTTCTGCATGCTTGTATTTATTTCGCCCAATTTAATGTCTTTCAAGAAAAACATTTAGATTAAAACCATCAATCTGTGGTTGGGCGAATTGCAAGAAAATGTCCGTGAATTCTAATTGTCAACATGCCTAACATCAATTGGCCAAGAAGTTAACAAATGTTCACTAATATCAGTTGCATTGTAAAAAAATTCAAGTTTCTACTCTGAATCAGCCATCAGCCAAGTTACTTTCAGCATCCGGATCAGGAACTAGACACACAGAAATGCTTTAATTTATCCTTTATGAACTGACATAAAATAAAATAAAAAACAAAACAAGAAAGGAATGTAGCAGAGTAGTTAAAACCTGCCTGGGCTGATTTTTCTTGACAATAAATGTCCCTGTTTTTGTAATTCTGTCCCTTCTTGGTGTTCATGATTATTGGAATTTGGGTCGGTAGCCTCCTTAAAAGCACTTACTATGACAGTTTTCCTGTAACCAGACATAATTTTAGTCAAATCTAGTAAAGAAAGAAAATCAAAACACAATTTAATATTTAGTCATTACTGATCAATTCTGGTCTGCCTATCTTGTGTTGGTCTGTTAGACAGTTTTCGGCATTTGGCCATTTTCAGTCTGAAATAGGCAGACCAGAATGATTGGTATTGTTTCAATTACGGATTCATCACCCCACAGACCCCTACCACATCATAAGAAAATGAATCTTAACAAAATTAACTTAGTTTTGCCTGTCAGGAGGCTAACCTACAAAAAATACAATTTGTTTTGATGGGTGATGTTCTTTAAAGTACTTGGTCTGTACTCAGTACTCAATTTTAGAAAATTCCAAGGGATCGCTGAGCAAAAATCAGATGTTCCAATTAATTTGTATTAGAGTATTATTACTAACCATTTCTGTTGTCTCTTGACTGCTAATGTTAAGCAAATGTTCACTATGATTATGACAACCTGGAAAAGAAATTTTTATTAATATATGTAGTAAATTAACTTCTTGTCTATGAAGCATCACCTGTAATAGTGCAGTTAGTATTGAAATGGCCATTATATTCCTTTGGCTGTTCTCTACAATAAAGTTAAGTTTCATCAAGCACGAGGTACTATAAACATTCTCTAAGTTGGGTCTGGCATAGCAAATCGGTATATCACCGTCTAATGTATCCGTTTTCAAATTGATACAACACGAGATTGGAAGAGTTGGAGGGATGAACAACACAGACCATGAACTAGGGTCATCAATTCCACAACACTTTAACTAGAACAAAAGATAAAAGTGAAGTTTTTTTAAATAAGTTTATCAACTAAGCTTTACATCACGCTGGAGATCATCTAATTTCTTTCTGTCAATTTTGCTAACAGTATACACCTTTGTCGCAGATCTTAGCTGTTCCAAGCAATATTCTGGGTAACTGTGTAGTGCTCGTATTGCCATAATTCCAATTACTATCTCTACTACGATGGCAATCACAAGAAACACCATAAACTAAAACATATTAAAAAAAAAAAAAAAAAAAAGTTGGGTGATATTCCAGAGTTGTTTGTGACCTTACGGCTATGAGTAAATGATGATTCTCTCTGAAGTTTGCATACACGCCAAATGCAGAGATGATAATGATAGTTATTGCGAGAGTAAGTAGAGTGATGGGCGGTAAAAGTTGATCGTGGTCGATCCAAGGAGAGTCGCTGAACTCTTTCATGGCAAGACTCGATACGATTAGCATTGTCATACCACCCACCTAACAAAAAAGGAATAAAAATTAATACAAGTTGTACATAGAGACAGTGCATAAATGAATCATGTTGTTCAACTGTTGAACATTAGTGTAAAATTGTGAAGTCAGGTTATGATGAATTAGCTATGTCAGTTTTATGCTTTTTCTAATGAAAAGGGATATTCAATTTCAAAGATTTTCCAAGATAATTTACAAATAAAAAAACCTACATGTTCGAAAATTTTGAGAGGATGGAGTTAAATTCCATTGTGAGATTTTCTCTTGAGGTTTGCGGTGTGATGAATCGTGTAGTTTGGTCATTTTCGATAATTTTGGTGCCTCACCTTTGCTTATAACCCTAATCTGCTACAACTTATGCTTTGTGGAATCATAATTTTTATCATTTTGGGCATTAGTGTATTGATAATTTTAGATCCAATCAATGAAACATTGTTATCTTCCAGAGGGTTATGTCGGAGCCTTTCCCTGCTTATAACCCTGACCTGCAATTGAAGGTAATGCTTCAAGAATACATGGTAAATTTATAGACAGTTTTAGCATTTATTTCTTTGTGAGATTTCTCTTTGAGGTTTGCAGGTTGATGAACCTAGCGGATTTGTTGTTTCTGATCATTCCTGATTAAAACCCTGACCCACTACGACCTACTGTTTCAGAATAGTTTTTATCGATTTTTATATATTAGTGTATTAAACATTTTGCTTTAAATTAATGTCTTTTCATCCTCTTCTGAACGGGTTTTATGTGGGTTCCCTGCTTCCTTGACCCACTGTTAAAGATAAGTCTAGTACATTTGTTAAATTTATAGACGTTTTTTCTTTGATAGATTTTTATATAAGGTTTCCACGGTGATGAACTTGTTGTTTGGTTGCTTCCGATCATTTTACTTTACTCTGTGCCTCACCCTGCTTAAAACCCTAATCAACTACAACATTCACTTTTTAAAATCGTTTTATTGATTTTTGGATCTTAAAATATTAATAATTATACATTGGCCTTTTCCTATCAGTTTGGTTTGCCTATCCTCACTGCTTTGGTCTGTCAGACGTTTTGGTATTTTAACGGTCAGGGTTATAAGCAAGGTGAGACACTGACACCAAACCACAACGCACTGTATCAATTGAAAAAGGTAAAGAATATGTTTTCAGAAAATTAGACATGGTAAAGTTGATTTGGCTGCTCATATTTTATTGTGAGATTTCACTCAGAGGTCTGAGTGGTGATGGACCTGTCTGTAGTTTGGTCGGTTCATTCCTCGCGTTTTGCTTGTTTGGACTGTCAGACACGTTTCGCAATATCAAAACCCACCTAAGCAGTACACCTTATTTTTTTTCCAATTAAGCATGCAAGTTAGAGTGATGCTTTTTCCAAGCCTTATTAAGTAGGGTAGCGAATGATGAGATGATGATGAGAAGGATAATAGGAACAGAGATGTGGAATCCCCAAGCACTCCTACCACTTTTGGCTTATTGTACGCCATACTTTTTCCCAGTGAAACTTGCATGTTGAGTGATGCTTTCTTCCAAGCAGTCTTAAGCAAGGTATGGATTGTTTCATCTTCGATGTGTTTTGTGCCGGTGCCTCATCCTACATATAACCCCGATCAATCTTGCTTAATTGTCCGTATTATTAACATTTATCTTTGAAACATTATTAATAGAGGATCAAGGTTATTAACAGGGTGAGGCATTGATGCAAAGGCACCACTTAAATTGGCGAAATGTTTAAAATGATAGTTGAAAACAGTGAGGAGAGGACGACCAGAATGGTTAAACTACTAGTTCTTGGATAAATCAATCCAAATTTTGTTCCAAATATTTTTTGTTCCATATATTCCATTTACTTTTCTCTATGGTGGGATTTAATATAAGGCGCTTATCCAAAAAGTGAAACATTTTAATTTTAACACATGATATAAATAAATGGACAAATCATAACTAGACACATAACCACATAGCAAATTAATTCAGCACAGAACGATATATTTCCCCATAATCACATATTTTAAGCTTCAGCTTGCAAATGGAAATTGACCAGGTCGAGAAAGCTCACTGCAGGCGACACGACATCCCGAAGAGGAAGTGCTGATCTCATTCGGCTGCGGGCAGCTCTCCTAAATCAGAATGTCAGATACTAATCGGTCGAAAGGTGTAAAGCCCTGGTAGAAGAGGTGTAAATGACGTTCGGCCTCTCAGAGAGGACAAGAAAGCTCCAGAATGGAAGTCGAATACTACAACAGGCACAGTGAGTCGTTCAAATGGGCCAGCATCGCCACCCACGTCTTAGGCGTCGCCCACTTCACAACGGCCATCCTGTACGATTACATTTCAAAAACATACGTCCTCCAAGGGGTCAAGCAGTATTACTTTTACAGGCTGAGGTTTTTAACGCACTGGAACCTTGTAAGTAATTCATGAAACATTTGGCATAAATCATGTGGCGTGTTAATTGATCACAGGTGCTTCTTTTATAAACACGATCTTTTTTTCCGGGCTATCCCGGTCCAAGGAAGATCCGATTTCTATTGGGCCCATTATTGGTCACCTAGATCATCTCACTCCCTTAACGCAGTCCCTCGAGATGCGTTAAGAGAGTTGCTGGCTTGAGAGCTGACCGCGAACGGCGGGTGTTGCATCAGATGCAACGCGGGTTAGGGTATCAGATCCTGTTTAAATATATTTGATAATAATCATCTGAACTGCGGGGCAGCATATTTTCATTACAAGTTCAAGCCCAGCTGGGGTAAGGACTCGCAGTGGCTAAGTGGTGAGACCCGTGGTGGGTACCTAGAGAAGAGGCTGTGTTTAATTCATGGCCGTGGACCGTAGTACTTGCGTATGACCTCCGAATTACCTCCAGACCTCGTGGGAATCGGCGTATAGCCAGCGAGGAGCTATGACTGCGCTGACGACATCCCTCGAATTCGTGAGGAATGGTGGACGGGGGTGGATGCTTTTCAGTGGTGGTCGTCTGGGCTGCCTTTACAGTAAGCATGGTCGCCTCAAGGTGGTTAGAGATTCCACTAAAATCGGAACCGCGGACGGAGCGCATCCGGAGGTTACGCCGCTAGCGAAGCCCCTACACCCAGGGATATAGTTGTCGTCTCTATGTAGGGAGTGCGTGGGAGGCTTGGCCGATGCATTTCGACCACTTTTGGGTACCCCTTTACGCGCGGACCGGATAAGTGCACAACGTAAACCCACCCCGTCGGAAGGGGCAAGCGGGAGAAGTAAGCATGTCTGTCAATTAGTCTGTAGATTTGCGGGCTTCTACACTGAACCTCACGGAAGAAGCAGATTTTCCGTGCGCGGAGGTGAGTCGCTCCTAACTTGAGAATCTAAACGTGTGATAAGGCCTGATGGCTAGGTGCGCACGCTGCAACCCCAATGGGAACGCGAAAAACTACCATAAGATTTAAGTGAAGGATGATTTGACAATTAAATTAACTAAAAACAGATAACATTGTTCAAACTATAATCAATAATACAATAGCTTGGGCGTTTCTGATAATTTTAGTCTGACAGACGGGCTCTTGCCATCTTTAGCGGTGGGATTGTGTCGTCCGGGCTACAAAAAAAATTAGAACTCCTACTCCTTTGTCAAATTCAGTTACTTCAAACGTTTACTGTACATATCTCTGATTGAACTTTCTCGACAAACATTATAGACTAGAGTTACATAACTTATCACAGCAGAATGGTACATATGACATATGACAATGACAGCAAATATAAGAAGTGGTTTGGTCCCATCGACCAATGATCATAAATGACTTATTTATTCTCAAAAGGAAGATCTAGCCAATTAAACTAAGTAACTAGGAAAAATGTAATGATCCAAAAGGCCGCAGTGTTTGGGGAATAACTAATCCCACTTCATAGTATTCCATCATCACATTCATCCCGCTTAAGAAAGCTTGGAAGAAAGTTCTCCAACTTGCTTGGTTAACTGAGCAAAAGTACGGTGTTCTGTTTAGGTGGATTTTGAAATGTTGACAGTCCAAACCAGCGAGACTAGGCAGACTAAAATCGAAACGGTCCAAACCAGGTTTATCATCCTTCAGACCTCTATGAAATCTCTGAATATATATGGCGAAACGTCAATACGATTATTAATATTCTAATATTTCAAAATCGATAAAAACAACTTTGAAAAGCGTAGGCTCACTGAGTCTGAGGTAAGGTACAATTTGGACAGCTAAATCCACTTTTTGTTTCTGCAATGTCTTATTATTTGAAACTTTTTTTACTGTATTCAATCAAGATGGTTCGTTGCGTTTTGCTGTTGATGCTTTAAAATCCTTATATCCTGACATTTAAAGATGGCGAAACGCCAATTCAATTATTAATGTTCTAATGTTCCAAAATCAATGAAAATGACAACTTTGAAAAGGTTCACTGGATCAGGGTTATAAGAAGGGTGGGTGAGGCACAGATACAAACTGCAAAGCACTATATTATGTTGAATTTAGTAAAGAAAAACGTTTCAAATAAATTGACATTGCATAAAGCAACAAGTGGTTTTAGACATCTAAATTCTGCCTCACCCTGCTTATAACCCTGACCCAGTGGAATCTACGCTTCTAGAATTGTTGTTTTTAACGATTTTTGGACATTAGAATGTTAATAATCGTAAGTAGGTAATTTCCAATCCATTGGGTCTACCCACATTCACGGCTTTTGACTGTCAGATGTGTTTTTGCATTTTGACATTTGTAAAGGTCAGGTTTGTAAGCAGAGTGAGGCAGAATTTAGATATCTAAAACCACTTTTTGCTTTATGCAATGTCAATTTATTTGAAACGCTTTTCTTTACTGAATTCAACATAACTGTGCTTTGTGGATTGCGTCACATCACCATGCTTATAACCCTGATCTTTAAAGATCGCGAAATGCCGAAACATGTCTGATAGGCTAAATCAGTGAAGATAGCCATCCAATATCGATTGGAGACGAAAGTACATCATTAAAATATTCTAAGGTTCAAAAATCGATGATAACGATAATTTCGACAATCGTAGGTCTTGTTGGATTAGTGGTATAAGCAGGTTGAGGCACAATTTAGACAGCTAAATCCACTATCCTTGCAATGTCCATTTATTTGAAACGCCTTCAGTACTGTATTCAATCAATATGGCGCCTTGAGACTTGTGCCTGTGGCCTGTACCTCAACCTGCTTATAACCTTGATCATTAAATATATTAAAATGCTGAAATATCCTACAGACCAAAATCGAACCGAAATAAAGGTTCATCACCCTTCAGCCCAATGGATGAAATCTCACAGTAATGTGCATTTCGTTTAAAAATGACAGAGAAAAATGATTCAAAATTGCCAAATAACGTTGAAGACCTGTTAAAATTCATCACCTCCAGTCTGAATATTTTCGCCCTCGCACTGCCATCATCAGTGGAAACCTATTGAAAATTAATTAATTTTTAACTTCTTTTTTTGGCCAAGCAAGTCAACAAGTTTTGAAATATTACAACAGAAATTACTATTTGTTATGATTTTATGGGCAATTATTTTGACATCCATAGTCTGAATGGAAAAAATGGTGGTCTTTATCACATATTAAATTTTTTTTTTTTTTTTTTTTTTTTTTTTTTTTTTTTTTTTTTTTTTTTTTTTTTTTTTTTTTTTTTTTTTGGTTTTAGTACCTTCAATGGATATATTTCTTATCCAGAACGGTCATGGACATGAAGAGAATATTTCAAGAGCGTAGATGTCGGTCACGTTATGACAATTTTTTGGACTACGTACAGATGTCTGCGGCTTTTCCTTTTACTTTGGTAGTTCACCCGGTTTAAAAATGGATATTCCAACTATTACGTATTTTTGTCTTTATCGTTTCAGTTTATATCGGTGTCTTACTGGTTTCTGGTTTCAATCAACCCCAGTTTCGTCCACACGGAGACCGGCCCGAGAAGCACGTTCCTCCTCAACCAGATGATACACACCAACATCCTTCCTTTGCAAATCTTGGAATTAATCACGACGAAAAAGATCAAAACGTCAACGACCGTATGCATCGCAGCTTGTAGCATAATACAGTTTTTGTTCTTTGCATGGTAGGGAGTCTTTTTTGTTTTTTTATTTATTTTAATCAGAAGAATAAGACAGTTTTTGTTTTAGCATGCTTTACTTTTATCACACTAAAGGTACCTGGTCGTACCCAATTATCGGGATTCTCAAAGGATATAAAAGGATCCTACTTTTAGCCGGCTGTTATTCCACTAATATTGTTTTCTGTTATTTTGGAGATGTCATCAACAATAAGTTATGGGGTAAGTGGGGGTGTTTTTATCTTCTACCATATGAAATAATTAATTTTCATTTCAAGGGAAATTGAGCCTGGAAAACGAAACGATCAATGACACAAACAACTGTCAACGAGAAATGGAATAACAAATAAATCACTTCTTATTTATTTTTGATTTATTATTTATAAAGATGTAAAGAAATTTTATCTTAGAATAAAAACACTGATGGGTAAATAATTTAATCGTTGTTACGTCTACAATACTATTTAAAGGACGATAAGCCAGTTTGATCGCCTGTTAAGAGATTATGAAAAAAAAAACAGGCATAAAACAATCAGGACAAGATTTTATCGTTTGTCAATGTTTATTGAATATGGCTAGCTATATAATTTTTTGTTTGTATAATTTTTGCCCTAATATCTTTGTAAGAAGCATTGTGGTTTTTCGCCAGCATCGGCGGTGGTTGTTCGGTGCCTCAACCTGCTTATATTCCTGACCAAGTGCGACCCACGTTATTAACAATTTTAGTTCTGTCGTTTACAACCAATTTGGGCTGTCGATCAGAAGAGATTATGCTTTACCGTACCCAGAGTGCCTCACCCTGTTTATACCCTGGCCCTCAGAGACAGAAAATTAAGAAAATCTTTTGTCGTTTTTAGCATTTATTACATTGTGAGGGTGATGAACCTGTAGGGTGATCTTTTTCGATCGTTTTAGGTCTAACGTGACCTTCCTTATACGCCGACTTACTATTGAAAATAAGATTAAAGTTACTGAAAATTTGAGCATTTATTTCTACGAAAGATTTTTTTATTGAGGCCTGCGGGGCAATGCGTGTGTAGTTTGGTCATTTCTAATAAATTTTGTCTTCCTACCGGTGCCTCACTTTCCTTATATCTCCACTGTGACCTACGATTTTCGAAATTATCAATTTCGGGTTTAGAAATAATTTTGCTTCCAATAACTGGCTTTTCGCCATCTTTCGACGGGATTTTATTTGGATGCCGTTCCCTGCTTATAACCCTGATCTACTATTGAAGATAATACTTCAAGTACACATGTTAATGTTATAGTTTAGCAGTTATTTCTTTGTGTAATTACTCCTCGAGGTTTGTGGGGAGATAAATCTATTAGTTTTGTTGTTTCTGATCCTTTTGGTCTACTGGTGCCTCATTCAGCTTATAGTGCCTGGCCTGTCTCACTGCGACCTTCGCTTTTCGAAACCTTTATTGATTTCTGGACCTTAGTGTAATAATAATTTTGCTCAGTCCCCATGTCAGTGCCTCACCCCGCTTATTCCCCGACTCACTATTGAAGATAATAGTTCGAGTATAAAGGTGAAGATGTGGATTTATGGTTTTAGCATTTATTTCTTTGGGAGATTCCCCTTGAGGTTTGAGGGGTGACGAACGTTTCTCGTTACCGACCATTTGGGTCTTTCAGTGCTTCACCCTGCTTATAACCCTGACACAGCGTGACCCACGTTTTTCGAAATAATAGTTGTTTTAATGCATTTTTGAAACTTAATAATTAGTTTTTGAGCTTGGTTGTTTCTGATAATTTCGATTTTTCTATCACCGACGTTTGTCAGACGCGCCTGAGATTTTTCTCCATCTCGTGGTGGGTTTGTGTTTGTGTCTCACCCTGGCCCAGTCACAGTGCAACCCACAGATTTCCAGAAATCGTATGCATTTCCTTTTAAATTTTACTGAAATAAAGGTCCAAGTTGCTGGATCTGTTATTTTTTTTTTAACTCTTCCGCAATCCTCCTACCGTGGCAACGTCGGACCCAACAAATGTTTAGGAAAAGAACGCTCATTATGAAAAATTGACCATTTTGGAAAGAAAAAGAAAATACCGAGTTAACTCAGGACAAAATAACCCTGTCAGTTCAATCTAGAGAATTTTTTTCTCTTCAAAATCTAATCGTAATATCGAGCTCGATGTGCAATTTGGGAGCATGAGTTGTTTACATATACCGGCGGGGTTAACGGATCTCTTTGCACCTGAATAACAGTTATTTGCTGATTTTCACTCAGTCACGCCATAGTCTAGTACTATCCTCGAGTCTAATTTTTCTCGCTTAATTATCTACAGGGGGGTCATCGAGAAAACCACTGCATCGTATTTTGAAATATATAATTTTTCACGAAGCGCAGCCTTTGTAACCTATATTGGACTGTTTGAAAAATATATTTTCCTTCATCCTAATGGATTTTTTCCCCCTTTAAGTAGACTTTTGTCAAATATCGCATACTGTACTAATTATTATGGGAATGTTTTAAACGTGTAAATTTATTCAGGCACGATTTAATCAGCAGAAGGCGTAGATGCATAGAATAATATGCTTTGAATATGCAAATCGTTTTGCCGAAGGTTTACTGACACTTCAAGTAACTCGGGTCGATTTGAAAATTCTAGGAATTCTTCCAAGTTTTCTTCTAAAACGAGCTTTTGCACCGTTTAAGCCTAAACGGGCGCCGAAAGAGTCTATTTGTTCGATTGACAACTAAAAATAAAACATTTCTTTTTTAAAAAGACACAAAAAACCAGGTGTTCTTTGTACACTTCATTAAACACGACATAATGAATATTTATGTTCTAATGACATCACTAATCATCTTCCATAAAAAAAAAAAAAAATGGATTTTGTTTTGGACAACTTGTGCAAGATCATTGTTTTTCTTTTTTAAACGAGGTTCTCAACAGCACAGGTAATATCAACCCTCGGGGTGCAGGTGTTTTTGAAAAAAAAGCCCATTTGTAAGTATGACGGGTTCGAATGCAGGGCCGCTGGATTCGAACCCGGGACCTTCACCTTACAGAGATTAGCGCCGTGTCAACGCCTAAACCGTTGCGGCCACGAACGCCCCTATATCAATTGTTGTTCTGCACAAAAATATACAAAAAAAAGCCCGAGACAAGAAAACCTACAGAAAAACTTCAATCCCCTTTCGTTAAAGTTTTGGCGAAGCTTAAACAGGACAAAATCACGAAATGACGCCCAGACACAACCGACGATAATTGATCGAAATGAGGAAATTCATCTGACAGACCAGGTCGATTGAAGTTAAAACAGTCGATAAATCTCAAAGTTTTGTTTTTAAAAATTGTTGTTTTATTCTAGCATGGAGAAAGTATAAAAATGCCATCGTAAACGCAACTATCATAAGTAACTTGGCGTGTATCACGAGTACGATGTCATTTCCTACATCCTCTGTGAATTTGAAAATCTGTTTGGATTCAAATAAGGATTGCAAAGAAAGCCAAGCTATTAGCAAAGAAGTTTTAGAGGTATTAAAACTTAATGGATACCGAGATCATTATGATATGGAAATAACAATAGCCTTATCACACCCATGGCTTCGTGAGCTGAAAAAAAAAAAAAAATGGGGAAAAACTGTCAGTTGTACAGATTCTAGTACCAAAGAAGGTTCTAGTACCATGCCCAAGAACATTAGAGTATATGACCTAAAATCGAATACCAATATTTTTCTAGCTTAAGTTCATGACAAGTTGAGAGTTAGTTCAAACAACTCACTGAAGTACAAAAATAAGTATGGCAGATATTCAAGTAGTCATTAGCTCGATAGTTCGGAATTCCAAGACGTTGCCATTACAAGACAAGCGGCTACCGTTGCTCATGAATGGAATGAAAGCGACCAGACCTAAGTTCCAAAAATTATAGGGAATTGGTAAGAACCCCCTATGATAAATCTGTTTGTACACCGATATATCTAGGGTGCAAGAAGTTTCAAGGTCAGGAGAATTTGATCCCAACGTCCCATAGCCCATGGTACTAGAAGCTTGGAATTGTTCAAGAGAAAAGAAGCGGCTTCCATTGCTTATATTGAATGAAAACTTTATTGTGGCTAACTTGACGCCATTAATTAAGGCATATGAGAAGAGGTCTAAGCTAGGAACTTGGTCAATCCAGTTCCGTGACTCCTGTACAGCTTGACAGCCCGACTTGAAGTGGATGTACCCTTCCTAGCGGGGGAAGTATGGTATGGGTATGGTGGAAAAGAATACTAGGAAGCGGGGTTTGTATTCCCCCACGCACTGCAGCCTTCTGGCTTATTGTACCTTCCTAGTTCCTTAGTTCAGTCAATAGACTCAATCCTTCTTCTTATAAGTATCAGGTCATTGACTGTTGCTGCTGCAATTTGATCCCTAAGTCTTTTCCGCACGTTAGGTTGTACCTCCATTGAGCTGTTGCTTCGCATTCGATGATATGAATGGCCGTTTCCTCCTCCTCAATACATAATCTGCAAATGGGATCATCGCTGTATATACCCATGTTGTGTAGATATTTTCTCAGATACCAGTGACTGGTTAGTAGTCCTACCACTCCTCTGAGTTTGGCCCTCTTCAATTGCAGCAGTGTTTTTGCCAGTCTCGGTGAGGGTTGTTTCATCATAAGTTTACTATGTCTAGCACCGCTAGAGTTTATCCACTTCTCCTTTTTTTTTTGCTTGGATCCATTCTGCGATGGAGGATTCTATATTTGTTTTTGTTATCCAAAGAATAGGTTCGGGGCCTATGTATGGTCTTGCAGATCCTCCTCTGGCCAGTCTGTCTGCTTTCTCGTTACCCAAAATTTCCCTGTGCCCTGGCACCCAAGATATCATCAGGTTGTTGTGTTTCCCCAGGTTTTGGAGATTTTGGATGCATTCACTGACTAATTTTGATGTGATTTTTTTATATGCTAATGCTTTAATAGCTGCTTGACTATCTGATCTTATGAGGATTTTTTGTCAGTGTAACCACTTTTAAGCGGGGGCAGTACTTCCTTAGCTCTTTCCTCTATCCGTGACCACTCATGACCTTTGGAACCTCTATCTTCCTAAACACAGGACCTCTTCCTTGCCTCCATCCTGCGAAATTATCTTTCTTTCTCTACCCTCCCCATCTCTTTTATTCTTTCGTCAACACAGGTCTTAAATTTGCAGTTCAATTAACCTTGGATATTAATCTATCCCAGTAACTGTTAAAACGAAATAAATCACCCATTTTCACTAGAAATAAATTACAATTCTACCGGAGAAAATATTAAATCGATACACATATCGCGGTGTAAATGTTTCAACTTCGATCAAAGGTAAATTGCAAAGGTCATAATTGACAAATCACGTTTTTCGTCCACAAGTCCAATGGTCAATCGGAGACTTTTGATCGTGATTTCACGTGCCGACCACCGATGACGGGACCGAAATTGTTTATTCATACAAGGTTGACCTATGACCAGTTACTTCCTTGCTTTATATATGTCCTGGTTTAATGTCTCTGATAAAACACAAACAACAATACCGTTTTGTTTTTTGTTTAAAACTTTAAATTAACGTTGGTAACGTTACAGCTGTAGCTCGGAAGTGTCCTCTCATTACCCTGCTTCTCCCTACTTATAACCCTAACAATCTGAGCTTTTCGACAGTCGTTTTTATCAACTTTTCTTAGTGTATTAATACTTTCGTTTCTGATCATTGGCTTTTGTTACGTCGGTACAAAGTAATCTCCTCTCTCGGCCACCTCCTGTACTTGCCCGCGCTTCGCGAAGTTCCCTCTCATTTTAACATAATTTAATAATGGGTATTTTAGGGGTGTCGGTGGCCCCAACGGCTGCCATTGACTAGACGCTTATCGCTGTAAGGTAAAAGTCCAGGGATCGAAACCAGCCGCCCTGAACTCGAACTTGACATACTTGCAAATGGGCTTTTTTTTTTCAAAAACACCGGCACCCCGAGGGTTGATCGACATTGCTGTTGCTAATCCTTGTTAAAAAGAAAAAGTTCGAAATTTCGAGCATGACTTAAACAAATCCTTTTGACTTTTTGATGGATGGAAAAAGAGTATGCGATTTTCCAGAAATGTTGGTTGAAAGTGTTTTTTTTTTTTTGGGAGGGGGGTCTAAAGTAAATTCTATTACTTGTAATGAAATACCTTTTTACAATATTTTCTTTTTTAAAACATTTATGATCAAAATTGTGAAAATTTGTTGATTAGAATTTTCCTATTAGATAAACGAAATATGAATGTTTATTGTGTAATAGTTTTATTATTATTAACCTTCTAGATAGAAATCACTTCGTCTTATAACAAAAAGGCATCCATTATCATGACTTATAAGCCGTAAAATTAGAAAAAACCTACAGTTTATGGCGAAACCTTAATTGCAATTAATTGTTTTATATATTTTTAAAATAAATATTCTTTCCTTTAAAATGCTTGTTTCTTAAACAATATTATTTGGCGCAGCCGGAGAAAATTTATTTCCTCTGTTTAACTTAAAATCATTTCGAGGTTAGATTTTTCCCCCAAAAAGTTGGTAAAAAGTTTTTTCTTTGCCTTCTAAGTATTTTTAGAAAATTAAACTTCACGCAACGAATAAATAATTTTTTCGAATGTCTAGTTTTTAATAAAACGTTTGTGCATAAAATTGGGAAAATATTTTTGCACATTTGGTAGACAGAATGTCCAAATCTGATGCAACAAAATTGACTAATAGTTTTGCTATTATTTAATTTATCAGCAATAGATTTAAAAATATCTTTGGTTTATGACGAAACTTTGATTTTAATTAATTATATTTTTTGATAGTTTTTATAAATATTCCTTCCTTTAAAATGCTAGTTTTCAGATGACAATATTTGGTACCATTAAAGAAAATTTATTTTCTTTGTTTAAAAAGAAAGCATGACTTAAAAATCCTTTCGAGCTTTGATTTTCCGAAAAATGGAGCGATAAATATTCTTTTGTCTTCTTAGTATTTTTAGTAAATTGTTTTGTATGCAATGAATAAATATTTCTTTCGAATAAATCTCCTTTTGTAAAACGTTTATGCACAAAGTTATGAAAGGGTTTTGGAATATTTGATGGTATGAATTTTTATATTAGATGCAAGCAAAACCAATATTTTTTGTATAATAGTTTTATTATTATTTATCATTGTGGGTAGAAATCACTTTTACTAGGTCCAAAAGCTGTTTAATATCAACAATTTAAAAAATAAAAACTTTGGTTTATGGCTAAATATTAATTTAAATAAATTATAATTTTAGATAGGTTTTATAAATATTCCTTCATTTAAATTGCTGGATGTTGTTGTTGTTTTCAACAACAATATTTGGCGAAGGTGAGGAAAATTTATTTTCTTTGTTTTAAAAGATGGGATATGAGATATGACTGAGATGTGACAGTCAATATGTTTGATTGAAAGTGTTTTTTCTTTTTAGTATTTTAGTAAAATTTAATTGCATGTAACGAACAATCTTTTTACAATATTGTGAAATGATTTGCGAAAATTTGTCGATTAGAATTTTCCTATTAGATAAAAGAAATATGAGTGTTCATTGTGTTATAGTTTTATTATTATTAGTCATTAAAGGCAGAAATCACATCGTCTTATTCCTAAAAGCTATCAATTGTCATAACTCATAAGCAACAAATTAAAAAAACAAAAAAACCATTGGTTTATGGCGAAACTTTAATTTCGATTAATTGTCTATTTAGATTTTTTTAAATAAATATTCCTTCTTTTAAAATGCTTATTTTTTAGACAATATTATTTGGTGAGGTCGTGGAAAATGATTTCCTTCGTTTAAAAAGAAAGTATTTCGTAAAAATCCTTTCTAGCTTAGATTATCCAAAAATGTTGGTAGAAAGAGCTTTTGTCTTTTTAGTATTTTTTAGAAAATTCAATAACATTTAACGAAAAATCTTTCTTTCGAATGAATCTTGGTTTTTAAAAACTTGTGCACAAAATTGTGAAAGGATTTTTGAAATTTGGCGATGCGAATTTCCACATTAGTTGCAAGCAAAATGAATTCTTGTTTCATTATTATTTATCATTTACCAGCAATAAATAAAAAGTAAAACTTTTGGTTCATGACGAAACCTTAATTTCAATTACTTATGTTTTTAATTATTATTTTTTTTTAATTTTTGGTTTTAAAAGGTGACATATGAAATATGCATTAATTCAGCTAGTATTTTGAAATTTTAAACATAACAATCTTTTAAATAAATTCTTAATTTAAATTAATTATGTTTTAAGAAAGTTTTTGTAAACATTTTTTTCTTTAAAACGCTTGTTTCTTAGACGACAAATATTTGGTAGAGTTGAAGAAAATTTAGAAAGAATTGGTTGAATGTTCACATTTGATGCAACAAAATTGAATTAAACAAAATTAGGCAAAAATCACTTTGTTTTATGTCCAAAAGCAAAAATGATATATTAAGCAATAAATTAAAAAAATAAAAACCTTTGCTTTATGGCGAAATCTTAATTTCAATTATGTTTTTAGAAAGTTTTGATATGTTACTTCTTTCAAAATGAAGTTTCCTAAGACGATAATAATAGTGCGCTTGATGAAAATTTATTTTCTTTGTTCAAAAATAAAGTACGACTTAAAAATCCTTTCGAGCTTAAATTTTCCAAAAAAAGTATGGGTAGTGTTTTTTTTAAAATAATTTTTTAAAAAGTTTGTGCATAAAATTGTAAAAGGATTTATGAACATATGTTGATGTAAGAAAATTGAATTTTTTTTGTTTTGATTAATCATTATTGTAGAAATCACTTTGCTTTAAATCAAATACCGCTGAATTGTCATAGACAATAAATTTAAAAAAAATTTTGGTTTATAGCGAAACCGTAATTTAATTGTAAACATTTCTTACAAATATTTATTTAAAATGCTCGCTTCCTGAATGTTTGGCGTAATAGAAGTAAATTCATTTTGTATTACTCCTCATTGTGTATAAATATACATGTGTATGTATATACCTTTCAATAGAACAAATAGTTTTGGTTAAAACAATTGTCATATAAAACGTCAATTTAGTAGGTTTGAAAATGTTTATATGCCTTAATGTAAAATGTATATACACACTAAGTATAATATGTCAAAAAATTTTTTTGGCAGCCTAAATAGCCATAGATAAATATTTATCATTTATTTTTTCACTTGTTATTTATACTTTGTGCTTGTCGTTTAATATCTCTCGTGGCAACAAACTTCCAGACAATGGAGCGGTAAATTTGCAAATTTGAACTCAAAATTGGAATTTTTTTAATGTGTTTGACAGATTTTTGTCTTGATTTATCAAATTTTTTTAATAAATATACTTAACATGATCTGCATTAGAAATTTAGTAATTAAATTTAGAATTTAGAATTTAATTTTTAATAGAAGAAATTTAATTTAGTAAACAAATGAAAAACACAATCTTATCAGTTGTCAAAATTTAGGTTTGATAGTGCACATTTTCCATTCTCCGAGAAAAAAAAAACTTTTTTTTTAAATTACAAAATTTTAGAGGAAGTTTCAACTTACGAACAGGAGTGCGATAAAGGCGAAATTGATCGATTTCAAGATTTTGATCATGAATGCGCCCATGATTTCGATCTTGATTGTAAAACGCCTCGAGAAGACTTTCCCGGTCTTCTTCGTCCTAGGTGAGACGTAGTAGGCGTGCTCCAAATTGGATCCACTTCGGAACACGACTGTGGGGCTCATCTGCTTGCTGCTGGAATTGCTGAGGTGGGTGGGCGACGGGTCGCCTAGACACCGGGATGAAAACAACCCCACTCGGTTTACACCTTTTGAGAACTATCACCGCGATGGAGCATCAGGGATGAGATTTTGTACATCGGCCAATCGGTTCGAACCGGCTTTCCTTATTTCAACTTAGCGTCATTTTTTTTCTATGGAGTAAGTTGTGCTTATCAAGTATGGCCACCTGGACGCTACAATGTGGAAAAACCGAATAATGTCTATGATTATCTACCAAATGTAACTTCTTACGACCAGCAATGTAATTAAAGTAAAAAATTAAGAAATGTCATCACCTTTTTAAAACTAACCTAATATTTTAGCAGATATTTTGTAATCATATGTTTATTTTAAATAAATAAATACATACAAAGACTACTATAAAAATGCTATAGAAAATAATTATGTTTAACACAAAACACAGAAACGGCGAATAGGATAAAAAAATGAAATATTAAAAGATAAATTTTCCTTCTTCCTTTTCTACTGAAAGTTTGGGAAAATTTACACTTGAAGTATTTTTTGTGAGTTAGAAGGTAGCTCCAGATAGACGAACATGTAGTTTCTTTCAATTTCAAAAGGGATTATCTGTGCCTCTCCCGATTTATAACCCTGACTTACTCTTGAAGAAATGCAGATGAAAGTTATTGGACGTTTAAGCATTTATTTCTTTGTGGCATTTGCTTCTGGGGTCTGCGGGTGATTCCGATAATTTTGATATACCAGCCACCGCTCACCCTGACCCAATGGCACCAACGTTTTTCGAAACGGTCCGTGATATATTAAAATTTTTCTTCTAATCAGTGGCTCTCTGTTGATATTCTATATGAATGTAATATGCTATATTCACCACGTTAAAGCTAAATGGCGAATTGATGCTCGAGAAAATTTCTGTGACGAGGAGGGTTTTACAGGGTGAATCATTGTCTCCACTGATGTGTTCAATGTTGTTATCTGATTTCGTTCAATTCTTTAAAAACCGTGGCATCAGTGGAATGAGACTAGATAATAGAATTTACATTATATGTTTACTTTTTGCCGACGATATCGTAGTATTCGCTGATTCGGCTTAAAATGATGTTTGATATTATTTATGTACATATTTAAAATGTAACTAATTATTTTAATTGTTATTATTTTTATAGTAATTTAATAATATTAAGTATTTACTAGTATAATATTTATTTGTGTTATAATTTCCGCGTTTCGCACGTTCAAATTGAGCGCCATTAAAAAAATCAGCTGCTAATTGGAACGTCGCGTTGGCGGAGGTATCAGAGGGTTTACTTTGGCAATTCATGTCGAGAGACGTGGTTGTAGAAGTCCTTCAACCTGATGATGAGCTAAAACGCTCGAAATTCGGATCGTTGCAAAACAACTTACTGTGAGTAGGAACTATCTTTTAAAAAAGGATAAATAAACAAAGGTTACTTATAGAACTAAGGCTGCTAAGTGCTAAGGAATTCAATTTTTTTATAAATGGGCTCAAATATGTAATCGACACAATCAATGTTCTCTTTGTGTAAATTGTTGGATGAGGAAAACTTGGAACATATATTTTTAAATTGTCCAATTTACCAACCGCAAAGATCCTTTTATTTAAAGAAGTACATAGATACATGTGTAAATATTAACAATCTAGAAAAACTTGAGTTCTTGCTAAAATTTGAAGCAAGAAACCAGGCAATTGATGTGATCAATTTTGTTTATAAATCACTTAAATTGAGAGCTTTTATTGTGAATGAATGATGTTTCATTGTTGCGTCGTGTAATTATTGATTTTAAATTGCCATGTAATTTAATGTAATTTAATTTTAAAGTGCCATGTAATATTATTATTATTATAGTTCCTTTTGTAAATAGTGTCATGTTAATTTAAATTGGAAGATATCTTTAATGATGTATATATCTTTATTTTGCCATTTGGCTCCCCCCTGTAATAGCTATTGCTGAAATACAGTATTAATCTATCTATCTATATGTTATATTCACCACTTGGATTTTGTTACCCTTATAAAACCATTTTTCAGAGGCTGCCGGTTTACCCCCATTGCGGAAGATCATAATTTTTGACTTTTTTAAATTTACAGATAAGTTCCAAAGATCACAAAAGGACTCAAAAATTCGAATATTATTTCGCAAACTAGCCGGACTCTCAGCAATTAGGACTGTATCATCCGCATATAATAATATTTTTATTTTGGTATTACCAACAAGAATTCCTCCTTCTAGTAGATTAACAATATCATCTACAAAAAGGGCAAATAACATGGGGCTAAGCACACACCCTTGTGTCCAGTACCTATTCTGAAGTATTAATTTAGAAATTCCTTGTGAGGCCCGAACCGCTGAAGCTTCCGAGGCATAAAAGCATTTAAATAAACCCCCAAACTTAGACGAAATACCCATGTTTAAGAGCTTTAGGAATAATGATGAATGACTGAGTCAAAAACTGCCTTTAAGTCTAGGAAAAAGCAATACACTTTCCTTCGCTTTTCTGACAGCTTCAGTTGTATTAGGTTAGACAGAACAAAGATGTTATCGATAGCAGAATAACCTTTCCCGAACCCAGCCTGAAATTCGCCAAGCAGATCTTCGACATACTTTCCTAAACGCCGGTGTAACATGGAAGAAAATACTTTAGCTATCGAGTCTATACATGATATCCTGTATAGTTGGATATGTTATTTACGTCACCATTTTTAAAAAGAGGGAAAATAATTGATACACAACCTGCTTATATCCCTAACAAACAACTCCTATTCTTTTTCGAAATCGTCGTTTTTTATTAATTTTTGGACCTTAGTGTATTCACAAAAATGCTTCCAATCGCTTAGACATCTTCAGAAGGGGGTTTATGCTGTCGCTTCATATTGCTTTTAACCCTGATTTACTATTAACGTATACTAGAAGACATTGATTCTGATGCTATTTGATGAACCTGTAAGAAGATCGTTTCCAATCATTTTGATCTACCTGTACTTCACCCAGTTTTTATCCCCGACGCCCTAAACGTGTCAAAATCTTAACGATTTTTGGACCTTAAAATAACAGTTCGCTTAACAATCCGCCATCTTTAGAAGAGATGTTATTTCGGTGCATCACCCTGCTTAAATCTCCGACTGACAATTAAAGATAATGCTTCGAGAGTACAGATTGAAGTTATGGATGGTGTTAGCATTTATTTCTTCTTGGGGGTCTGCGTAGTAATAAACCTGTAGTTAGGTCGTTTCCGATAATTTTAGTTCATCCTGCTCATATCCCTAACTCACTCTATGTTTTTCAAAACCTTCTTTCTTAATAATTTTTGGTCGGCAGTATATTAAAATTTATACTTATAATCTATGGCCATCAGTAGATAATGAAGCTTTGTTTGGTAGTGTCTGATCGTTTTAGTTCACTGGTGCCTCACCCTGCTTACAACCCTGACTTACTCTTGAAGATGGTGCTTCAAGAATACATATTAAAGTTATGGAAAGTTATGCATTTATTTCTGTTGAATCCGAAGTTTTCGTTCATTCGTTCTGACCTTTCCTAAGCGTTTCCCCCAAATTGGGTCAGGGATATAAGCAGGGAGAGGCATCGACTGACCCACCACTGATGGTAGGTAAAGTTTCAACACAACGGTTTGTATAAATATATTAATCGTTTTTTAATTCATCTTGTATGTTCTGAAAATATTTTTAGTAGTTTGGTCCTGATCTGCCTATCCTTGTGGTTTGTGTACCGCCTTCTGCTTATAGCTATTGAACTCTGAAAAAAAAGGAAGGCTTTGCGTTAATATATTTGTGTTTTTGATGTTGAGCCTGCGAGGATAGACGGACCAGTATTATCTGAAAGGACTAAACTACACTTTTATCATCTCGCAGAGCCACAATAAATCTCAAAATATTAATTTATTGTTTATTAAAACAATGCATAGGTAAAAATTGTTTTAATTTTGTTCCGAATCTCGTTTTATCTCACGATAAATTATAAAGCGGAAATAATTTTTTATTAAGATCGCTACCTTGGAGCTATGTAAATTTTACTGGAGCCATAAGATCAACTTTATGATAATATGATTGATTAGGTGTCCGTCTGATATTAAAAATGTTAAATTGCGAACTTGTGTCAGATAAGAAAATCGCTCGTTAAAAAAACGCCTAAAAATAGAAATTCAGTGCTACACAAAAGAAATATACAAGTTACCGAATAATTGACTAACACCTGACCTGAACTGGTGTTTTTAATTTAATTTCGCCTTTTGATTGTTTTTTAGTCGATTAAAAAGTCTTTCAAACGTCGGATTTATCACTCACTCCATGTCAAGTGAAGAAAAGAAAGTCAGATTTGAACTCATAATTTCATTTCGGTTAAACCTCAAAGATAAAGCTGTTGATAAAATAAGATAAGACAACTACTTATATATATATNTATATCTTATATAATTAACATTTTATTAATTAACATTTTCCTTTGTTTCCTTCAAAATCAAAATAGTTAGATAATTGTACTGTACAGTATTTCAGGATTGATTTTTATCAATTATCAAACAAATTTACAAGCAGTATTGTTATATTCACCTATGTATACATAAATATATACAAAGTGTTCGGCTACTCGAGTTACAAACTTTCCCAGTAGATTCTACACTCCAAAAGTAACCAAAAGGTCGTAATTAATTATGGTCCGAATCTCAACAGTTTCGGAGTAATTTCACTTTTTCTGATTTTTTAAGATTTCACGGCCTTGCTTCAAATAAACAATGATAACTCCAAAACTAAAAGGTTTTGGACAAATCCGTTGATACCATTGAAAATTACGTTAAATTTCCAATAAGATGTGATCAATACTAAAGTTGTCAACCTTCGTGAAATAAGTGTTTTAGTAGCGAGAATCTTGGAAAAAAATTTTTTTTCTAAGTTAAAAAACTTACTATGGTGATTCTAAACGACTATTTCCAAACAATCATTTTCAGAAAACGTACTCCATTTAATATCCTTTTTAGTGGTGCAATCGCTTTTTTAATTACTTTTTTTCAAAGATGAAGAAATTGATGAAGGAAAAGAAAAAACCCGTGGCTGAAGGAAGGTTGGAGGACCATAGTGAGTTTTTCAACTTTGAAAAAAAAAAGTTTTTTCCCAACATTCTTGCTTCTAAAACACTTATTTCACGAAAGTTGACATCTTTAGTATTGATCTCATTTTATTGGGAATTTAACGTAGTTTTCAATGGTATCAACGAATTTGTCCAAAACCTTTTAGTTTTGGAGTTATCATTGTTTATTTGAAGCAAGGCCGTGAAATCTTAAAAAATCAGAAAAAGTGAAATTACTCCGAACTGTTGAGATTCGGACCATAATTAATTACGACCTTTTGGTTA